AGAGCCCCAAGACAGCAACACAATTAGACCCAACCAAATCATGAGAAAACAAAAATATAATTATATGACACATTGGAAAGAATTTACAAGAAAACTGAGCAAACTAGAATGCTATTTGGCCCTAAACAGAGAGTACACAGTGGCAGAATACCTGACCACTGTGACTGACCCAAAATTAAGGAAAGCTTTGACTATGTACAGACTCAGTGAGCATAGCCTTGCTATTGAGAAAGGTCGCCATAGACAGACCTGGCTCTCAAGAGAAGACAGGCTTTGTGCACACTGCCCACAAAATGAGGTGGAAACTAAGCTGCACTTCCTAACCTCCTGCCAAATGTATGACCATATTAGAGACACATATTTCCCTCAGATTACACAGACCCACAAAGAATTCGAAAACAAATCAAATTTTGATAAACTCCCATATGTATTGGGTGAAATACCACAGTGTGCAATCACAGCAGCAATATTTGTGACCTGTTGCCACAAGAAAAGGGCAACTAGTGAAGAACAAACACATATTTATGTTTATTTATTTTCCCTTTTGTACTTTAACTATTTGCACATCGTTACAACACTGTATTTAGACATAATATGACATTTGAAATGTCTCTATTATTTTTGGAACTTGTAAACATATGTTTCCCATGCCAATAAAGCCCCTTGAATTGAATTGGAGCGAGAGGGAGAGAGAGAGAGAGAGGAGAGAGAGAGAGAGAGAGAGAGAGAGAGAGAGAGAGAGAGAGAGAGAGAGAGAGAGAGAGAGAGAGAGAGAGAGAGAGAGAGAGAGAGAATGAATAAAAAATAAGGAGAGGGCAATTGAAAAAAGGTTAGGGGGGATGAGGGGGAGGAGAGGATGGCAGGAGGGGAGCTGTAGTTAAATGGAAGCAGAGGATGAGGTGATGGTGGTAGAAGAAGCCGGTGGAGGAATAGAAGAGAGGAAGAGAGGGATGCGAGATAGAGAGGTAATGAGGGGGGCAGGAGATAGAGGAACAAGAGCAGCACTCATTAAGAATAGAGGCTCCATTAGTCAGCAAACTGGGGGGGGGGGGGGGGGTATAATGAAGGGACATAAAGGGATGCCACAGCGATAGGCAGTGGACACACACGCATGCACGCAGACACACACACACACACACACACACACATACTCCTGGATCTTACTGCAGCAATTCATAGTCACTAATTACATATTGATACAGCAAACAGCAGAGATGGGTCTGAACACTGATGAAAAGCCAATGTCGTGATTAGTTTGTTGTGTGTGTATGTGTATGTGTATGTGTATGTGTATGTGTATGTGTATGTGTATGTGTATGTGTGTGTGTGCGTGTGTGTGTGCATGTGTGTGTGCATGTGCATGTGTGTGTGTGTGTGTGTGTGTGTGTGTGAGAGCCCAGAGAGGCAATGGGTGTGTTCACTTTATAGCCACTGCAGCCAGCCAAAACACAAGAGCACAATGATAATGCGCAACATTGTCACGCTCTGGCTCCGGGACTCTGTATGTTGAGCCAGGGTGTGTTCGTTCTGTGTGGGGGTTGTTTCTAGGTTGGGTGTTCTAGGTTGTTGTTTTCTGTGTTGGCCTAAGTGACTCCCAATCAGAGGCAACGAGTGTCAGCTGTTTGCTGGTTGTCTCTGATTGGGAGCCATACTTAACTGTCTGTGTTTCACTTTGTGTTTGTGGGTTTTTGTTCCGTGTCGGTATGTTTAACCGTGGACTTCACGAATCGTGTTTTGTTTGTTACTTTAATTTAATAAAGTCATGTTTGGTTCACACGCTGCGCCTTGGTCTACTTCGCCTTCCCACGATCGTGACAGAAAAACCCACCATACAACGACCAAGCAGCGTGTCCAGGAACACACGCAGGAGGTGACTCTGGTGGATGTCCTCCTCGGTTGGGGGCAGATTACCGAGGAGGAGGCCGTCCGGTACCGGAGGGCAATGAAGGGGGAGACCCAGGCAGGAGAGGAGCAGCGGCGTCAGCAGTGCCATCGTCGGACGGACGAGAGGCACCCCCAATAATTTTTTAGGGGGGGGCACACGGCATGGGCGACTGGGCAGCAGGAGGCTGCCACAGGGCGAAATAGGAGAAGAGGAGAGAAGGCCACCGGGTTTTGGGGGCCAGAAGGCAGGTTGGCGGAGCCTGGATGGAGAGCAGAGCCAACTCCCCGTACTCAGGCATGGCAGCATGAGACTGGGCAGGTTCCGCGGTATGCGGAGCTGCGCACTGTGCCACGAGTGGTCCGGCATAGTCCGGTACGTCCTGTGCGAGCACCCCGCACGTGTTGTGCGAAGGTGGGCATGCAGCCAGGACGGAGTGTGCCGGCTCAGCGCTCGGGGCCTCCAGTGCCTCTCCTCGGTCCCGGATATCCTGCGCCAGTATCACGTGCTGTTATGCCAGTACGGGTACACAGCCCTGTACGTCCTGTGCGGATGCCTCACACAGAGTGTGTGAGGGTAGGAATTCAGCCAGGACGGGTTGTGGCAGCTCTTCACTCCAGGTCTCCTATCCGTCTCCATAGCCCAGTCCGGCCTGTCCCTGCTCCACGCACCAAGCCTACGGTGTGCGTCGCCAGCCCTGCCCGGCCTGTCCCTGCTCCACGCACCAAGCCTACGGTGTGCGTCGACAGCCCTGCCTGGCCTGTTCCTGCTCCACGCACCAAGCCTACGGTGTGCGTCGCCAGCCCTGCCCGGCCTGTCCCTGCTCCACGCACCAAGCCTACGGTGTGCGTCGACAGCCCTGCCCGGCCTGTTCCTGCTCCACGCACCAAGCCTACGGTGTGCGTCGCCAGCCCTGCCCGGCCTGTCCCTGCTCCACGCACCAAGCCTACGGTGTGCGTCGACAGCCCTGCCCGGCCTGTTCCTGCTCCACGCACCAAGCCTACGGTGTGCGTCGTCAGCCCAGCCCGGCCTGTCCCTGCTCCACGCACCAAGCCTACGGGGTGCGTCGCCAGCCCTCTCCGGCCTGTCCCTGCTCCACGCACTAAGTCTACGGGGTGCGTCGTCAGCCCAGCCCGGCCTGTCCCTGCTCCACGCACTAAGCCTACGGTGTGCGTCGTCAGCCCAGCCCGGCCTGTCCCTGCTCCACGCACCAAGCCTACGGGGTGCGTCGCCAGCCCTGTCCGGCCTGTCCCTGCTCCACGCACTAAGCCTACGGTGTGCGTCGTCAGCCTGGTCCAGCCCGTTCCTGCCACTCGCACCAAGCCAGGGGTGCGAGTCGTCAGCCTGGTCCAGCCCGTTCCTGCCACTCGCACCAAGCCAGGGGTGCGAGTCGTCAGCCTGGTTCAGCCCGTTCCTACTACTCGCACCAAGCCCGAGGTGCGAGTCGTCAGCCTGGTAAGACCGGTCAGCTGCTCCACAACGGAGCGTAAGCAATCCGCTCCGTCAATGTCCAGTCCAGATCCAGCCAGCGGGGTCAGACCGGACCAGGGGCGCTACGGGGGGTTGATTGGAGGGTGGTGGGCAAGGCCGGAGCCAGAACCGCCGCCGAGGAGGTATGCCCACCCAGCCCTCCCTTGTTTAGCCCTTATGGAGGCGCGGTCGCAGTCCGCGCCTTTAGGGGGGGGTACTGTCACGCTCTGGCTCCGGGACTCTGTATGTTGAGCCAGGGTGTGTTCGTTCTGTATGGGGGTTGTTTCTAGGTTGGGTGTTCTAGGTTGTTGTTTTCTGTGTTGGCCTAAGTGACTCCCAATCAGAGGCAACGAGTGTCAGCTGTTTGCTGGTTGTCTCTGATTGGGAGCCATACTTAACTGTCTGTGTTTCACTTTGTGTTTGTGGGTTTTTGTTCCGTGTCGGTATGTTTAACCGTGGACTTCACGAATCGTGTTTTGTTTGTTACTTTAATTTAATAAAGTCATGTTTGGTTCACACGCTGCGCCTTGGTCTACTTCGCCTTCCCACGATCGTGACAAACATTTACGATCTGTAACGATAATAATATGTATATACATGTAGACAGACCCTGCATGCTTCCTGAGAGAAATCGATAAGTAAAATAATATATTGTAGTTGTATAATCTACTGCATACAGAATGCACAGCCACAGCAAATCAAATCAAGCTTTATTTAGCACCACCAGCAAACTTCTGCAAATACCCTGCAGCTCAGCACTGCAAACATTAGTGCAGCTTGGTAGAATTCAGCCAGTTGGTTTGTGCAGGTGGATGGAAATAAACTGCTCCGGTGTGAATACACAGATCCTGATAGCTGGAGAGTCCCACAGTGTGTGTGTGTGTGTGTGTGTGTGTGTGTGTGTGTGTGTGTGTGTGTGTGTGTGTGTGTGTCTGTGTTGTAATGCAGTGTGTAATGCAGTATGTCTTTTCCTTATTAGGCCATTTAACCCTTGTGACCCTGTAATGCTGCAGGATGCAGTCTGTGGGGAGTGGAGGCTGAATCTCATCACTCCCAATAGAAGCCATTTAGACGGAGTAGAATGAGTCGTTCTGTACCACCCAGAGATAGACGCAGTTTCTCCATCCATTTCTGAATGAAATCCATCTTTATCTGCCCGGCTATTCAGAGCCACCCCAATCTCTGACTGCAGTCTCAACTATTCAGAGAGTACATATCTCTCCATTTCAAACCGATGGAGAGAAACAGAGAGAGCTAGAGAGAGAGAGAGGGAGGGAGAGAACTAGAGAGAGAGAGAGTGGACTACACTGCAAAGTAAGTGAGCAAGGAAGAAACGGTGTGTGTTGGATTCCTACAGACAGTCAGTGTCACAATGCAGTTTATTTATTGCCTATATAAGGAGGACAGACGCTTGCTTTAAAAGCTGATATGGAGCCAGATATGAGTTGTGTTTTCTTCCCCCCACCAATGGCTGATGCCGGTGCAGTTCAGAGTAGGGTTTTTAACCAGCATTGATCTGATTAGGCTGCAGTCTTCCTTTGTTATCATCAGGGTCATAAATGTTTAAGGACCATTAGGAAGCACGAACGAGGCAGACCGAGGAGGACTTACTGCTTAAATGACCATTACTGGATACCTCTCTCTCCATTTACAGATTAAAAGCTTTACTGGGTCTCCTGCTCTTCCATCTCTCTCTGTCTGAACACTCATCTGTCTGAACAGACTCAGGAGGAAAAGTTTGTTGGGTTCCACAGGGAGATGGAGGTTAAGGTAGAGATAGGAAGAGAGTGAGAGAGAGACCCTAGAAAAATAGGGAACAAGACACGACACACCAGCAGGAGACCTATTTGCTCTGATTGGACACAATGGGAGAGAAACCTGTCTGATTATTTAATAGGTCTGTGATTGGTGCTCCTCTGATTCACAGACAGTGTGTGTTTGTGTGTGTGTCATGTGTTAGTGTGTGTGTGTGTCAGTGTGTGTGTGTGTGTGTGTGTGTGTGTGTGTGTGTGTGTGTGTGACCACAGTGTTTGGTAGTCGCTGGTCACTCTTTAATTATCTAATAAGCCACTGGAGAATGTAGTCTTCAGGAGAATTCAGACAAAGCAGAAATACATCACAATGATTTCATTAACCACACACTGACAATGGCCATTAAACCTGATGTAGTGTTTCAATGATCATCATCATTGTCACTGCTTCAACACAATATCGCCATGTTACAACTGGGACAGAGAATTGGTGCATGTGAAGGTAATCTATAGGCCGTCTTAATGTGTTCATTAAATGTAGTCGACTATTGATAAAAGTACATTGGCTAAGTGCATTATCTGTGCCATTCAAATATATATACCAGTTCAAATGCTTTTTCTTTACTTGCTCATGTACATGGTCTAGTCAGCACATTCACAACAGTTCCAAGCCATTTCATTTAAGGTCAACTGTACACTAAAACCAGAAGGGAAAGTAAGTAAATGTAAGATCATTCATTTATTATGTTCACCGATGTACACAGTGGTGGTGGCTGTCTCTCTGATTAGCAGATAGAGGAAAGCACAGAACACTACCTGATCAAGAGAACACTGGGCGGGGTGTGTAGAGGAGGGGTCAGAACAGAACGAGTTCTGGGGGGTAGGAGGGCAAAGCTGGCCCTCTCCTGTGGTACACAGACATGCTTAAAGGGAAGCGGGTGAACAGAATGTTCATGGCATCAGTGTTTTGTCATCATGTTTTGTTTTGCATTCTTGAACACCAGCAGAGCAGTTCTGTGATCCTGAATGGTCCTTCCTGTGACTGTCCACTGTCTGAGCAACACATGGAAGATAGTGGGGGGATGTCTCAAGCCTGACGAAAGAGAGAAGATCGGTCCACTCAGCGTTCAGGAGAGTGAGCAAGAAAGAAGAAAGGGTTTCATCATCATATTGTTGCTGTGCAGAGAAGTCAGGCAGTTCAGTTCTGCTTGCTCATGAATGTGCGTGTCATTTGCAGTCCCAGCGTGTCCTCTCCCATCCTGAATACCCATCAGCCTATTCAGCCGGCTACCTGCAGGAGGCACGGCCCACCTGGGGGAAAAATGCTCAAAATGGCTGCTTCACCTCCGGCGGTGCTGGGATAGAAAAGCACGAACATCTTAGCATTATTCAGCACCATTTAACATGATTTGGTGCTACAGCGAACAGAGGCAGAGACACAGCATCACCATGGTTACACAGAGTGACTGACAGACAGAGCTAAGTACAGGTGCAGCAGGAAAACATTGTAACCATTGAACATCCTCTGATCTGATAATAGTCTACACACGAACACACACACTAAGTCATCCTGATGGCCGATATACAGTCAATACAACATGACATTGTTTGTGGTAATTACGTATGCATAAATAACGACGTACACATCTGGCATAGACATTTTAATGAGTATGTAGTACAGCAGTTTTATAAATTAAAGATGGGTGATTATTAAAGATGAAAGGTGATTATGAATGTGAAAGCAGGGCAGGCAGGTAGACAGCATAGCACAGCTGGATGTTCACACACAAAAACACACCACACAGAAACATCCATTGAGTGTATGAATGAATACAACCAATGAATGTGTGTGTTACAGGTGTGGGGCTAAAGGAGCCGTTTAGGAAGGGGTTGGCTTCAAATGGTGCCTTTCTGCTTTAGTTTTTTGTGTATTTGTTTAAACTAATAAATGAAAGCTGCTCCGTCCTCCTCCATTGTGTGTCTGGCTGTAGCAGCGGAGCTGTGGCTGAGTCTGTGCTACAGCAGAGTGCTGATGCTTTAGGACCTACAGAGTGTGAAATAGATCAGTAAGGGCAAGCTACAGCATTAATACTGCTATAAACCCGCAGGCCATATCAGTCCTCACTCTCTCTTCCTCTCTTTTTCTCCCGCTTTGCTTTCCTCCCTTCTACTCTCCCTGGACATGTTTCTTACAGAGTGTGTGTAGTGTGTGTCATTGTAGTTCCTTGTGTGCCTTTCGGTTAGTTTTGTATCTCTCTCTGGCTGAGTCTCTCCACAGTGGACAGTATAACTAAGCCATGGTGCTGCCAACATCCCTGTGTCAGGCCAATGATAGATTAAAATGCTAAAGTCCAGGGGAATCAGACACCACTGAACTAATGTATGACAGTGTGTGTGTTTATGATAGAGCTGTAATATGAGCGAACAAGAACAGTAAAATAATCCCTCCCATTCCCCTACCCTACTCTATGCCAGTTGATTTAACGCATGGCTTCTCGGCTTATTTATTTCAGAGATATTGATGTAAATGATTGGTATCCTCTCCTCCTCCCCCTTCTCTCTCTCTCAGTCTGTCTGTTGGCAGTGGAGAGGTGTCAGCAGATGACAAACGGCCATGACAACAATTAAAAAATAACAACAGGCCTTGTATAGGCCCCACACAGGCCTGACAGGCGCATCAATCTCCAGCCTACTTTCCTCACTGCTATCAATTAACCCCAGCACGAGATCTGCGAGCGACTAGCTGACCTTGGCATTATGATGCTCGAGTTCTATGGAATGGAAGGATACATCTTCAGGTAAGCATGTTCCACTTTTCTTTCGGAAAGAATGACTGATTGACAGACACTTTGTGTAACGGTCTGTTGTTCGGCGTTGTTGTGGCGTTGGACAGTTGGTGTGTGTAAGCTTATAGGTGGGAGAGAATGATGCAAGACACATACTGCAGACTACCACCAATCCAGCCCCTCCCCATTCCTTCTCCCCCCCCCCCCCCCCCAGAAATAGGAAAGAACAAGAGACAAACAAAAAAGAAACAGTGTCAGCAAAAGATTTATAAGACAGAGGAAATAGAGGGCCAGCAATTCTCTATGGTATGTTTGCGCTCAAGGGTCTCTCTCTCTTTCTCTGGTTTACTCTTTCTCTCCCTCCCCAAGAGCCCACCATAAGATAAAGAGTTCATGCCGTGCCATATTATCTCCCCTCAAACTAAAACAAATAAAAAGTGGAAATAGACCACACATGATAAACTCTCTCTTTATCCCTCATCTTATTTCTCTCTCCTTCTGCCTGCGAGTGTCAACCCCAGACGGGCGTCTGCACCTGTTGAAAACATATTCGATTTTTTGTACTTGCTTTATTACTCATATTGTTTCTGGAACGTCTTTTTTTATTATTATTACTGTTTTATTTGTATTTATGCCGCTGGTTATTCTCCCAGCCTGTGCTGAGTCATAGGAAAGTAGACAGGACACAGATAGACTAATAAATTAGAAGCACTTGCATCTGCTGGATCTAATGTTCGCCTGCACGGGCTGCTGCCAGTGTGTGTGTGTGTGTGTGACTGCTGACGGGGGTGAGTATGAGGTGGGAGACGAGATGATATGAAAAACGCTCTACTCTTTGCGTAACACACACACACTGGCACAGAACAGAACACACACACTCTGTCAAGCTACATGTGTACATTAATTCCTTCATACCACTGACTATGTCATCATGACTTACTGTAAGCACTTCTCCATCACTGGAGATAGAGGTATGAATGGACAGAGTAAAGCTTGGATATACTGAAGTGCCATCGAACCCATAGTAACCTGTCACATGTTTTCACCAAAAGAGTCACTCAGTTTAACCCCCCTCTGTCACTTTGGAGTTGGTTCATCCCGGTCTGTCATACGTCTCCATTGGACAAAACCATCACCTGACAGTGGGAGGTGAAGCAAGACAAAGAAAACAGACTGTACAAGACTGTCTCAAAAGGAAGAGAGAAGAAATAAACACGAGGTCCTTTCTCTTTTCTTCTCTCTCTCTCTCTCTCTCTCTCTCTCTCTCTCTCTCTCTTCTCTCTCTCTCTCTCTCTCTCTCTCTCTCTCTCTCTCTCTCTCTGTGCCTTTCTTTGAGTCTCTGTGTCTGTGTGGGGGCTCTTGTCCGTGTGAAGGGGTGCCCCCCCCTCCTTACCCCCAGCTCAGAGAGGCAGACAGTAGCAGAAGGAGCAGCAGCAGGGAGTGAGGGGGGCCGAGGGAAAGACGGGGCGACACCCCCCCACCCCCAGAACCCAGGTTGGACACCGTGGCCTTCTCAGCATAGAGAGGGATCACGTCAAACTGACCCCCCTCCTCCTCCACATCCTCCTCTTCCTCACTCTGCTCCACCTGAGACAGAGAGATATATTGTTAGAAGAGAGGAAGAGAGAAAGAAATGAGGGATGTGAAGAGTAGAAGAGAGAATGACATGAGGTTTGAGTGAGGAGAAGAGAGGATGGAAGGAGGGATTACAATGTGGAACACGGAGAGGAGGGAAAGAGAGAGAGGGGCGAGCCAGAAGAAGAGGGGAGAGAGCAGAGAAGAGAGACTGGAGCGCGAGTGAACGCATGTGCCCTAGATGGCGAAGGAATTAGGAGTTAGGATAGAGAAGAGGAGACAGAAGATACGAGCGGATTACAAGATAACACGTAGAGGAGAGAATAGAGAAGAGAGAAGAGGAGAGAGAGGAGGAGGGGGAAAGAAGAGGAGGAGAGAAGGGGAGAAGGGGAGAGAGGGAGAGAGAGAGGGAGGGACGAGCGTGGGAGAAAGAGGGGGAAAGAACGGGATAAGGAAAGGGAAAAGGAAGGAGAGAAATGTAGGGGGGGGAGAAGCAGGGGAAGAGAGAAAATTTTTGGGAAGGAAGGGGCGGGGGGGGAGAAGAAGAGGGGAAAAAGAAAAAAAGAGAAAGCCAGAGACTTTTGGGGGGGGAAAAAAAAAAAGAGGAGAGAGGAGAGGGAGAGAGAGAAGGGGAAAAAGGGGGGGGGAAAGGGGGGAAAAATTTGAGGGGGAAAAAAATTTGAGATTGGAAAAAAAGGGGAAACGGGAAAAAAAAAAAGAGAGAGGGGAGAGAGAGAGGGGAATGAAAAGAGTGGGGGGGGAAAAGGAAGATTTTAGAAGGGGGGAGAAAGGGAAAAAAGACAATTTTGGGGGGAAGAGGGAAGACTAGAAAACAGTAAAGGAGGGGCACGAGAGAGAAAGAGAGAGACAGGGAGAGAATAAGGAGAGATAGAGAGAGAGAGAGAGCTATAGGACGGAGAGATGAGAGAGAGAGAGGAAGAGAGCTTCAGAATAGCAGAGAGAGCAGAGAGGAGTCTAGACAGGGCAGATCGATCCTTAGGAGCTGCATCTCTCAGAGAGAGATAGAGCGATAGAGGGGGAGAGAAGAGGAGGGGGAGAGGAGAGAGAGAGAGAGGGTATTGGAATCCCCCTGGTCTAGCTGGCGGCAGAGATCAATTCTGGCTGTGTTGAGAATGCAGGAAGCAGAGGAGACATAAAGCGCTTCACTGTCATTCTGATCAATGGACCGAACAGGATTTAGCGGTCAGACAAAAGCAGTCACTCCTGTGGTCAATGGTCATTCCAGCAGCCTGTGGACAGGGCTCTAAATAAATACAAATCACTGGTAGCACCAGAAAAATAGATACCTCCATTGGGCCTATATGAATACTACTTACTTTGAAGCACATCTCCTGAAGAAGATATCCATTTTCCTTTCTTTATGTGCCACCAAATGTTTGCATATACTGGTAAAGTTACCAGGTTGTTAGTAGGGCTGCACGATAAGGGCAAAAAAATCGAATTACGATTTTTCAAATTGGACTTGGCATATACACTGAGTGTACAAAACATTAAGAACACACGCTCTTTCCATGACATAGACTGACCAGGTGAATCCACGTGAAAGCTATGATCCCTTATTGATGTCACCTGTTAAATCCACTTAAATCAGTGTAGATGAAGGGGAGGAGACAGGTTAAAGAAGGATTTTTAAGCCTTGAGACAATTGAGACATGGACTGTGTATGTGTGCCATTCGGAGGGTAAATGGGCAAGACAAAAGATTGAAGTGCCTTTGAACGGGGTATGGTAGTAGATGCCAGGCGCATCGGCTTGAGTGTGTCAAGAACTGCAATGCTGCTGAGTTTTTCATGCTCAACAGTTTCCCATGTGTATCACGAATGGTCCACCACCAAAAGGACATCCAGCCAACATGACACAACTGTGGTAAGCTTTGGAGTCAACATGAGCCAGTATCCCTGTGGAATGCTTTCGACACCTTGCAGTCCATGCCCCGACAAATTGAGGCTGTTCTGAGGGCAAAGGGGGTGCAACTCAATATTATGAAGGTGTTCCTAAGGTTTTGTACACTCAGTGTAGATCAAAACACTTGGGGGAATGGTTGGAATACTAGAAATAGAATGATTATTATAATTCTAATGGTTGGCGTTGTTTGGCATGACAACAAATGAAAAAGCCAGGTTATGACAGGGTAGGAACCGAAGTGTTGGTCAGTGTTTCCCAGGGGACCCTAATCACATTTGAATTGATGTTAGCCTATTATAAAATGTTTGTCTAAATGTAGGCTTATCTGATTTAGAACATGCCGTTGCACAAACAACATGCTGACCTACACCACCACTGGTAACAACCTGTATTAAAGTTAACGTTTGCTTTGCCTTAGCTAGTGCATTTAGCTAAATGGCATTTAGTTAGACAGCTAGCTAGTTAGTGATTTGCTTTAGCGATTTGCATTATTTTAGGCACATGCCAGCTTCCTTAGACTAACTAACTTGTGTTTTTCAGAGAGCAAGATACACAAACTAATAGTATAATAGAGAAAACATGTTGATTTGTATTTAGAAGCAACGTGGAAAGGACCATCGTTCTTGTTTTGGAAGAATCTGTTCAGTGAATTGACAACATAATGAGATACTAAACAGCATGGAGGAACTGTGTGCTAGAGGGCTTCACGGATCTACACAAACCCGATTACCAGAGACCTGACGGGCTCTGCAGATCCTCTCAAGCTCTGTCAGGTTGGATGGGGAGCGTCGCTGCACAGCTATTTTCATGTCTCTCCAGAGATGTTAAATCGGGTTCAAGTCCGGGCTCTGGCCGGGCCACTCAAGGACATTCAGAGACTTGTCCTGAAGCCACTCCTGCGTTGTCTTGGCTGTGTGCTTAGGGTTGTTGTCCTGTTGGAAGGTGAACCTTCGCCCCAGTGTGAGGTCCTGAGTGCTCTGGAGCAGGTTTTCATCAAGGATCTCTCTTTACTTTTCTCCGTTCATCTTTCCCTCGATCCTGACTAGTCTCCCAGTCCCTGCCGCTGAAAAACATCCCCACAGCATGATGCTGCTAACCACCATGCTTCACCGTAGGGATGGTGCCAGGTTTCCTTCAGACGTGAGGCTTGGCATTCAGGCCAAAGAGTTCAATCTTGGTTTCATCAGACCAGAGAATCTTGTTTCTCATGGTCTGAGAATCCTTTAGGTGCCTTTTGGCAAACTCCAAGTGGGCTGTCATGTTCCTTTTACTGAGGAGTGGCTTCTGTCTGGCCACTCTACCATAAAGGCCTGATTGGTGGAGTGCTGCAGAGATGGTTGTTCTTCTGAAAGGTTCTCCCATCTCCACAGAGGAGCTCTGGAGCTCTGTCAGAGTGACCATCGGATTCTTGGTCACCTCCCTGACAAAGGCCCTTCTCCCCCGATTGCCCAGTTTGGCCGGGCGGCCAGCTCTAGAAAGAGTCTTGGTGGTTCAAACTTCTTCCATTTAAGAATGATGGAGGCCACTGTGTTCTTGGGGACCTTCAATGCTGCAGACATTTTTTGGTGCCCTTCCCCAGATCTGTGCCTTGACACAATCCTATCTTGGAGCTCTACGGACAATTCCTTCGACCTTGGCTTTTGCTCTGACATGCACTGTCAATTGTGGGACCTTATATAGACAGGTGTGTGCCTTTCCAAATCATGTCTAATCAATTGAATTTACCACAGGTGGACTCAAATCAAGTTGTAGAAACATCTCAAGGATGATCAATCTAAACAGGACGCACCTGAGCTCAATTTCGAGTCTCATAGCAAAGGGTCTGAATACTTATGTAAATAAGGTATTTCTGTTTTTTATTTTTAATACATTTACTAAAATTTCGAAAAACCTGTTTTCGCTTTGCATTACGGGGTATTGTGTGAAGATTAATGAGGAATAAAAGTATTTAATCCAATAAGGCTGTAACGTAATAAAATGTTGAAAAAGTGAAGGGGTCTGAATACTTTCCGAATGCACTGTATATATATATATATATATATATATATATATATGTTTAGTTGCACTGGTGCTCCCAAAATAAAAACCCAGGTCGAACAGGAAAATATTTGGTTGCATGTGAGCGGTGAGTCGTTCAAAACTAACAACGTTGCATAGTGCTGAGTAATGTTGAATAGTGTTCAGTAATGTTAGGTAGTACTTAGTCATGTTGAGTAATGTTAGGTATTATTTGGTCATGTTAGGTAGTATTGAGTAATGTTAGGTAGTATTGAGTAATGTTAGATAGTATTGGGTAATTTTAAGTAGTATTGAGTAATGTTAGATAGTATTGGGTAATTTTAAGTAGTATTGCATAATGTTAGGTAGTATTGAGTAATGTTAAGTCGTTTTGGATAATGTTGAGTAATGTTAGGTAGTATTGAGTAATGTTAGGTAGTATTGGATAATGTTGAGTAATGATAGGTAGTATTGAGTAATGTTAGGTTGTATTGAGTAATGTTAGATAGTATTGTGTAATTTTAAGTAGTATTGAGTAATGTTAGGTAGTATTGGGTAATGTTGAGAAATGTTAGGTAGTATTGGGTAATGTTGAGTAGTAGTACTCACAGCGTTGTTGCTGAACTTATCCTGGGCATTGTTGCTGAGCTCATTCTGCTGGTCCAGGTGGGAGGGGCGAGAGGGCGGGGGATAAGTGCTCTCCACTGGCCGAGGGGGGGAGCTACCCATGGTACTGATGGAGTTCTCTGTGAGACAGACAGATAGACACATTACATTACATAATGTGTGTGTGTGTGTTCACATCCGTGCATGAGAGCGAGTGTGTGTCTGAGTGTTTAACTATTTGACAGATTGATGGATTTAAGTGTCAAGTAGTAAATTGATTGCTTGCCTTATGTAAAGTGCATTGATTGATTGGTCTGACAGTTGATTGATTGACATATGTACTCATATGGGTGACGAACAGACTAACCCAGACATGCGTTGTTGGTGAACATGTGCTGGATCCTCAAGCAGTCCTGCCATTGGTTGCCACTGCCCTTGCAGTTGCACCACAGGGCCACGTCCACAGTGCTGTTGCTAACGTAGTTGGGGGTCATGATGGTGCCTGGAGGAAGGGGTCAAAGGTTACCAAAATCAACTCCTACTGTTTAAGATCCTAAGGCTGGCACACTGACACACCCCTGACACGACCCGCTAACATCCTCTCTGTCATCTTAATCACTCTCTATTCTCTTTATTCTCTCTGTCTCTCTCCTCCCTCATCTCACCCCTCTCCATCGTTCATATTTCGCTGCATCCCCCTTTCTCCTCAAGCCTTGTGAAACCAGACTGACTTCTGCATTTAAGGCTATTTCACCCCTCCTCTCCCCTCCCTCTCTCACTCTCTCTCTTACCGATGAGTCCGGCGTAGGATTTGAGGCACACAGCTCCACTCTCTCTGATACAGACGGAAGTGGAATGGCCGGAGGGCTGGCAGTTATGCTGGAAATCAGCCAGTCTGGACCTGAGACACAGACACACACACACGAATGAGAGTGCTTCTAAGAGCAAAAAGGTGTGTGTGTGTTTTGTGTGTGTACATATTGTGTGTCTGACCTGCAGAGTTCGTCCCTCCTGCAGAAGCTCTGCAGATGCAGACAGTTGGGCTGTATCATGTCTCTCTCCTGGTAGGAACAGGAGGGGACGATGGTCTTCCTGCGTCTCTCCCCACACAGTTTGTCAGTACAGGGGCAGAACAGCAACCCCAGGCTGTACTCCTCCGGGACGCGCTCCAGGAAGCGCCGCAGCGCCCGGTGGCACTTCTGCCTGTTGCAGTGGTCCAAGCCTGGGGCACGCTTGGTGCAGGCAAGGACGTACTCAGACCTCAGGGAACCACATTTCTCATACAGACCACAGTCCTGGGCTGCCTTCAGACATACGTTATGTCCATCTAGAAGAAGAGAGGAGGCTGAGAGAGAGGGGGATGGGGAAAGAAAGAGATAGATAGATATAGAGACAGGTATGGGGACGGAGAGAGAGAGAAGGGGAGAGGGAGAGAGAGAAAGGGGAGAGAAAGTGAACACCTGGTCACTTGAGGGCTGTAGAGATGAGTTGATTGATTGGTGATAGGGTTTAGTAGTGTTTTGATCAGGAGTGCCTGAGGGTGTTAATGTAATAAATGATTGTGCTGTAGGCTACCTGCTGCCACTAAGGAGGCCATTCGAGAAGTCTCCACTGGCGATTCCTCATAGGGAGACTCCTCAAAGTCATCATAACCTTCATGATCACAGAGGAGAACATCACATTACAACCTAATCATAATAACATGGGAGATTACGTCATATTACAACCTAACATCATGATATCACATCGCAACCTAACAATAACAAATGCAGGAGAGATCACCACATAATCTGAAAATAACATGACAGTAGACCGAATCGCATCATAATCTCCCAACACCACAGGAGACAGAATCACAACATAACCAAACACACAGGGAAGCATCACATCATAACAGAGACTCAAAGCACTCAGCCAACATTTCATTAAAACATCACATCACACACCTGCTACCAACATCATAATAACACCTAGTCTAAATTCCATCATGGGTATATTTACTGTTCATGAGGGTCAGGTGACCCATCAGGTGACCAATTACCTGACCATATAAAGATGGCTGTGCTCCCCATACTGTACTGCAGGGTTCCCCAACTGGCGGTGGTTTTATTTGGCCCCCCAAGTTTTCTGAGCAATTAGTTTATATTGTTGGACATAAATGACTGTAAAAACACCAGGAAATGAGCGCCAAGTTATTTTATTTTAAGAAATCTGCTCCCAAGTATTCCCATGCACAATATACACATGATTGTATACAAATGTAAGCAAGGTTTGAAATGATTATGTTTTAGTCAAACATTATATCTGTTTGGGCTTCTTGCAGTCAACAATTTTTTTCTAATTATAAACTGCGTGGTTTGAGCCCTGAATGCTGATTGGCTGACAGCCGTGGTATATCAGACCATATACCACGGATATGACAAAACATTTATTTTTACAGTTCTAATTACGTTGGTAACCAGTTTATAATAGCAATACGGCACCTCAGGGGTTTGTGGTATATTGGCCATATACCACACCCCCTCGGGCCTTATTGCTTGATTATATTCCGGCACCCCCGACCATCCACTTAGAAAAAAAACAGCCCACGGCTGAATCTAGTTGATGATCCCTGCTGTACTGCCTTTAGTCATCCTTTTAGCTAGCCTGCCTAAGTATGCTGCAGAGCTGTCTGACAATAATTTGACTAGTTCTTCAAAGTAGATAAGGTTTACTTTCACAAATGGTCTCTGTCCCTCTCATCGTTGTGTACATCCCTCTCTCATGCAGTCTGTGTATCTAACCTAACGTGGCAGGCGTAAAAGTGTATCCATCCAGAGATCTGTATATAATGACGAGATGCTCATGTCTCTGCCCTAACAATGGGAGTCATTGTCCCAAATGCGGGAAGATAGGCGACAAGCATAGGTCCAAAATATGCCTATAGAAACACATTGGGCTTATTTTGGACTGATTTTGGCGAGTGAAACATCTCGCTTCAACTTTTCCTCTCTGAGCCAGAAAAAACTGACGCAATGGATTTTGGTAATTATAGTTAACCCACTACAGTCTAAGCCCTGTCTAAGCAATATGGAATTGTTTTAAGAAGGCCATACCAAGGATCAATTAGCTCTTTGATTTTGAATTGTAAGAAAATATTTTTTTTTAAATATCGGACCTAGGCAGCTACATGCCTATAGCACAGCAGGGCTAGAGGCCAGCAGACAGCACACAACTAGTCACTAGTGCAGGCAAGCGAATCTATGTGCCCAGTCCAGAAACCCCCGCTCAGCCCGACAGCACTAACAATGCTACCCAGGGAGAAAGGGATGGACAAGAACTGCCATTGGCTTTCCAAGACAAAGTACCTTACAAACTCAGTAGCCAAGGTGACCCCTTCGATTCAGACACCCAGTCTCAAGCCTCATTACAATGTCTGAAACCACCAAGAGACTCCGAGCTCAGCACGGAAGCTGAGCCCCTCAACCCAAGCGACGAAGACAAGCTTCAATCTCAACAAGTGAGAACCTCTGCTCCAGGTTCCCTTAAGGCAGCAGCAGACCAACTGAAGTCTAGGGCAGCTATCTCTGCAAGTCAAGTACAAGCCTATTCACGCAGCTCCAACCAGTCATCCCCAGAAGGAGATATAACTGCGGACCAGCTGTGACTGCTACCACAACCCTTGAGCTCAGTATGCAGGCCAGCAGCTCAGCTAGTTTGCCCTCAGCTCTTTCCAGGTCTAGCACCGGCCTACTCCCAGTCCCTGGGTGCTCAGGGTCCAGCGGCTACAGGTCTAGATCAACCGGCCTACTCCCAGTTCCTAGGAGCTCCCAGTACCTTTCAGACCTCAACTGCTCTGGACTCGGCTCAGGCAATCTACCCCCCGCTAATACCTGACCTGTATCCAGCTCTACCTACCCAACCATGGCCCCCAGAAAAGGAGCCAACAGTCCCTTACTCCAGCCATCAAAGATCTTCTCATGGGGCGGCCAGAGCCGTTCATGCCCCAAGGAGCATGAGTTCGGGAGTGGACGGGGCGGCCAAGATGGTCACTTTCTCTGCCAACCAGTAACCGTGGTCAACTCCTGCCTCCCCGAGCTGCAACAGTCAGCCACAAGAGCTCAGCCAGGACATGGCCTTAGAGCAAGTAATCTGTCCATACAGCCCCAGGAAGTGCTACAGATTACTCAAATCCGATGGGAATAATTCATTAGCTGCACTACTGCGTGGGCGGCTGTTCATGAATTATTCGAAGTGAGCACTCTAGATGGCCAAGATTGCCTCCTATAAAGATGGCTGCCGAGCACACAAAACAGTCTTTGTTTGGCAGCCATCAGAGGACTCTCATCCAGTATGCGTTCATTACCAAGTGAGTGTATTACCTGTGCCATTTGACATGTTATGCTATTGTTTTTTGTTTTTTTATTGTTTTCTTTATGGGGTAGATCACCTTTAATATTGTAGATAGATTGTAACTTCTATCAATGTAATTGTCTGCATCACTTCCAATCCCCCATATGTTTTTTTTCTCTCGCAAATATATATACATACATACATACATACATACATACATACAGTATACAGTTGAAGTCGGAAGTTTACATACACTTAGGTTGGAGTCATTAAAACTCGTTTTTCAACCACTCCACAAATGTCTTGTTAACAAACTATAGTTTTGGCAAGTCGGTTAGGACATCTACTTTGTGCATGACACAAGAAATTTTTCCAACAATTGTTTACAGACAGATTATTTCACTTATAATTCACTGTATCACAATTCCAGTGGGTCAGAAGTTTACACACACTAAATTGACTGTGCCTTTAAACAGCTTGGAAAATTCCAGAAAATGATGTCATGGCTTTAGAAGCTTCTGATAGTCTAATTGACATCATTTGAGTCAATTGGAGGTGTACCTGTGGATGTATTTCAAGGCCTACCTTCAAACTCAGTGCCTCTTTGCTTGACATCATGGGAAAATCAAAAGAAATCAGCCAAGACATCAGAAAAAAAATGGTAGAGCTCTACAAGTCTTGTTGATCCTTTGGAGCAATTTCCAAACGCCTGAAGGTACCACGTTCATCTGTACAAACAGTAGTACGCAGGTATAAACACCATGGGACCACGCAGCCGTCATACCGCTCAGGAAGGAGACGCGTTCTGTCTCCTAGAGATTAACGTACTTTGGTGTGAAAAGTGCAAATCAATCCCAGAACAACAGCAAAGGACCTTGTGAAGATGCTGGAGGAAACAGGTACAAAAGTATCTATATCCACAGTAAAACGAGTCCTATATCGACATAACCTGAAAGGCCGTTCAGCAAAGAAGAAGCCACTGCTCCAAAACTGCCATAAAAAAGCCAGACTACGGTTTGCAACTGCACATGGGGACAAAGATTGTACTTTTTGGAGCAATGTCCTCTGGTCTGATGAAACAAAAATAGAACTGTTTGGCCATAATGACCATTGTTATGTTTGGAGGAAAAAGGGGGATGCTTGCATCATCCCAACCAACACCATCCCAACCGTGAAGCACGGGGGTGGCAGCATCATGCTGTGGGGGTGCTTTGCTGCAGGAGGGACTGGTGCACTTCACAAAATAGATGGCATCATGAGGAAGGAAAATGATGTGGATATATTGAAGCAACATCTCAAGACATCAGTCAGGAAGTTAAAGCTTGGTCGCAAATGGGTCTTCCAAATGGACAATGACCCCAAGCATACTTCCAAAGTTGTGGCAAATTGGCTTAAGGACAACAAAATAAAGGTATCGGAGTGGCCATCACAAAGCCCTGACCTCAATCCTATAGAAAATGTGTGGGCAGAACTGAAAAAGCGTGTGCGAGCAAGGAGGCCTACAAACCTGACTCAGTTACACCAGCTCTGTCATGAGGAATGGGCCAAAATATACCCAACTTATTGTGGAAAGCTTGTGGAAGGCTACCCGAAACGTTTAACCCAAATGAAACAATTTAAAGGCAATGCTACCAAATACTAATTGAGTGTATGTAAACTTCTGACCCATTGGGAATGTGATGAAAGAAATAAAAGCTGAAATAAATCATTCTCTCTACTATTATTCTGACATTTCACATTCTTAAAATAAAGTGGTGATCCTAACTGACCTAAGACAGGGAATTTTTACTAGGATTAAATGTCAAGAATTGTGAAAAACTTAGTTTAAATGTATTTTTGCTAAGGTGTATGTAAACTTCCGACTTCAACTGTACATACATACATATATACATACACATACATACACATATACATATCCTTTAAAAAATATATATTTCCCTTTATTACTTTCCAACCCCACCACCCCTTCCCTTATTGGAGTAAACTAGTGAACAACAATGCTTAGGCCTCTACTTCCAGCTTATACATACTATATACATTTTATGGACACAGTCAATTTTACAATAATTATATTTTGTTTGTTTTTACTCCTGAACCTTCTCTACCCTCAACCTCTCCGATCATTTTCATAATGTCCATCCGGTTTGCTTCTATATGACATATCTTTCTAACTGTGCTCTTTCACAAAAGCTCTCAACCTATAACCTATATACAGTGAGGGAAAAAAGTATTTGATCCCCTGCTGATTGTGTACGTTTGCCCACTGACAAAGAAATGATCAGTCTATAATTTTAATGGTAGGTTTATTTGAACAGTGAGAGACAGAATAACAACAAAAAAATCCAGAAAAACGCATGTCAAAAATGTTCTAAATTGATTTGCATTTTAATTAGGGAAATAAGTATTTGACCCCTCTGCAAAACATGACTTAGTACTTGGTGGCAAAACCCTTGTTGGCAATCACAGAGGTCAGACGTTTCTTGTAGTTGGCCACCAGGTTTGTACACATCTCAGGAGGGATTTTTTTCCACTCCTCTTTGCAGATCTTCTCCAAGTCATTAAGGTTTCGAGGCTGACATTTGGCAACTCGAACCTTCAGCTCCCTCCACAGATTTTCTATGGGATTAAGGTCTGGAGACTGGCTAGGCCACTCCAGGACCTTAATGTGCTTCTTCTTGAGCCACTCCTTTGTTGCCTTGGCCGTGTGTTTTGGGTCATTGTCATGCTGGAATATCCATCCATGAACAATTTTCAATGCCCTGGCTGAGGGAAGGAGGTTCTCACCCAAGATTTGACGGTACATGGCCCCGTCCATCGTCCCTTTGATGCGGTGAAGTTGTCCTGTCCCCTTAGCAGAAAAACACCCCCAAAGCATAATGTCTCTCAATGTTCAAATAAACCTACCATTACAATTATAGACTGATCATGTCTTTGTCAGTGGGCAAACGTACAAAATCAGCAGGGGATCAAATACTTTTTTCCCTCACTGTACTTATTATGGACACAGTATGCTTACATTATTAGTTATCTTGTTGTTATTAGTTGTTGTTAGTTGTTATTAGTCCCATCCTTCAACTCCATTCAACACCACCCATCTATCTCTTAACACCATCCATATTGGATTTCTATTTGCCATATATTTTTCAACTGTACTGTGATGTTTTACAAAAGTTCTGTACCTTTCTATTCTCATTGTTTCTACAGATTGTACATTGAAAATAAACATTTTTGCTAAAAGTATTATTATATTATTTATCGATTGACTATGACTTTTCAGATCACCCAGTAATGCTATCTGCAGGGTTAGCTCCAGGTAAATATTGTAATCCTTTAGCCATTCCTGGACCTGTGTCCAAAAACAAGCTACAAATGGTCAGTACCAAAACATATTATCTAATGATTCTGTCTCTTCGCAGCAAAATCTGCAGAGCTGGGAAGATTGTATCCCCCATATAAATAACATTCTATTGGTAGCAAGAATTGTATATAATAATTTAAATTGAAAAATTATAGGTTTTGAATGCGGCGTCGTTTTGCGTATCAGTTCATAAACACTATGCCATGGAATCGGTACGTCAAAAATCTCTTTCCAACTATTTTGCAATCTATATGGGACGGCTGTCAATCCTTTGGTACTTAAATTAAACTGGTATACTTTTTTATTTATCATAGTTTTCTTTAACCAATTATGTTCTTTAATGCAAGGCTGACAGACAAGTTCCTTACTTTTTCCCCCTTCCACTTTCCTCTTCCATTTTTGCGGTAATGCTGCAATTATTTGGTTGTAATTTTGGGTAGAGCAGACATTTCCATAAGTTTTTGTTAGCTGCATGTGTGACATAACTCCACCAGTCCTACCGATGATATCATTTACGAAGATTATACCTTTTTCAAAAAAAACATTTTGTCAAAAAAAATGGTTTTTATCAATTTGTATATTTGAGTTTAACCACAATATTTGTTGAATTATTTGTTCTGTCGTTTCTGGAGGATTAAATTGAAATTAAACATGTTATGCTATTGTTTACTTTGTAAATTCACAGTATGTAATCATTTATTATTTTATGCTAATTAGGTTCCATTGATGTTTGTGAACACTAATACTTGTCTCTGTCTGTTGCAGAAACCATACTTTTACCAGTCCTCATTCATGCGTTTGCCATCTGTGCTAGAACGGTTTTGGTGCTACAATAAATGGTAAAATGTTAATTGGAGTCTTGTCCACCTCAATCTCTAACGGGAAGTGCTAACCGCTGAATTGGCTGTTAGCATCCACCCACAACTTAGTCTTTAGTCTCGCTACACTACAACTCTACTCTAGTGTGGTCTTACAAGCCACTTCAGCAGTGTATTTCTTTCATTTACCTAACTATAGGCATGCTCCAGATTTGAACTAATTACATGGTATGAGTACAACCTAACTACACTGAACAAAAATATGAACGCAACATGTAAAGTGTTGGTCCTATGTTTCATGAGCTGAAATAAAAGATCCCAGAAATGTTCCATATGCACAAAAAGCTTATTTCTCTCAAATGTTGTGCACAAATTTGTTTACATCCCTGTTAGTGAGCATTTCTCATTTGCCAAGATAATCCATCCACCTGACAGGTGTGGCATATCAAGAAGCGGATTGAACAGCATGATCATTACACAGGTGCACCTTGTGCTGGGGCCAATAAAAGGCCACTCTAAAATGTGCAGTTTTGTCACACAACACAATGCCACAGATGTCTCAAGCTTTGAGGGAGTGTGCAATTGGCAAGCTGACTGTAGCAATGTCCACCAGAGCTGTTGCCAGAGTATTTAATGTTAATTTCTCTACCATAAGCCTCCTCCAACGTCATTTTAGAGTATTTGGCAGAACGTCCAACCGGCCTCACAACCTCAACGTGTAAAACGTGTAAAATGAAACGGAGTAATATTTTTGTCTGTAATAAAGCCCTTTTGTGGGGAAAAACTCCTTCTGATTGGCTGCGTCCTTGCCCAGTCATGTGAAATCCGTAGATTAGGGCTAATTTATTTATTTCAATTGACTGATTTCCTTATATGAACTGTAACACAGTAAAAATCATTAAAATGGTTGCATGTTGCGTTTATATATTTGTTCAGTATTTAAATCTACTAATCTGTTCATGTAAATCCCTGTGTACTGTTTTCCTTAATGACACAGTAAGGGAGAGCACTCTCTGTTCTGTGTTAGAGTAGAGTGCTGTGTAATTACCGTATGCATGGTGACTAACAGAGCATGGGGGATAGCTCCATTAGCTGTCATTAATTCTCACTGACGGTGAGTCCGAAATGGCACCCAATTCCATATATATATATATATATATATATATATATTAGTGCACTACTTTTGACCAGGACCTATGGAGAATAGCGTGCACATTATGTAGGGAATAGGGTGCCATTTGGGACGCAACCTGATAGTCAGATGCGGCAAAACACGGTGGCTATAGGGATGTGTCACAGAGGATGGCCAGGGGTCTAACGTAGTGTTGGCCAAATGGTGGGTCAAGAACCAATGGTACTAGAAATCCACACTGCCCCCTTCCCTCTATAAGCTAGTAATCAAACATACACACTTTGTCACAAGCACTACACCTACCACATTTTGTTATAAACTCATACACACGCGTGCGGACACACACTCACCCTGCAGGATCCTGATACTCCAGTAGACGCGGAGGCAGTGCTCTTCTCTGCGTGCGCCGCGCTGACACTTGCAGGCCAACAGGGGGAGGTAGTGCAGGGCGCTCAGGGCCTCCAGGCACTCTATCCCGGCCTTTTCCCCCGGAGCCACCGCCTCCTCGGATGCACAGTACTCCAGGGTCATGTACAGCTCCTTACACTGGGTGTCTTCCTTACACCCCCTCTCTGCCTCCACACAATCTACAAAGCCCAAGGGGAGGGGCGGCAAGGAGGGGACCACACCTTCAGAAATGAGGGCGGAGAAGACAGAGAGGAGGGGGAGAATAGTCAGCCATCGTATCGGGATGATTCTAAATGGTCCACTCAATATGGCGGCCAGGGGGAACCCACCACGGAATGTTGCTTTGAAAGGGCATGTCCATTCTAGTATCTCTTATGACTCCCATACAAGTACTATCACTCTGTGCACCCATTGATTTGTATTTGGGCTGAATGCACTGACATTAAATATTAAAAGCCAATACTGGATGTGTGAGTCCTTCTCTACAGTATCTCATTTCCATGGACGTGAAGGCATTTTCATTGAGTGAATCAAAAGCCAGAGCTTACAGTGTGAGGTTTCATATTTGGGAAATACCTTCTATTTTACCCAGAAATGTTCTGCGTGATATTTTGGCTGCTCTCGACTGTTATTTGTAAACCAATACAAAATTCTCCCTTGGTAAAATTCAATGGTTCACGCACAGACCTACAGACACACTAACGTTTTCCGATTACAGTCATTTAAAAACTAATCGGAGAGAGAGAGCGAGCGAGACAGAGACAAACACCGTTTGGCGACACACACCAATCAGAACCTTGCTGGCTAGGACACACGCACAGTATGAGCTGCAATCAGCATACCCTGAAAACACACGCACACACCCTGAGAGGGAGCCTTTTATGTCGGACTCATGCTGTGAGGGGGACTGTGGGGCACGGAGTCTATCATTATTACAAAAACACAATACCACACATCCACAGGAGGGGGTAGAGCAATCTGTCTATGACACACACACACACCCCGCCACACACTAGATCAGGGTTTCCCAAACTCGGTCCTGGGGCCCCACCTGGGTGCACGTTTTGTTTTTTTTGCCCTAGCACTACACAGCGGAGTTGGTTATTTGAATCATCTGTGTTTGGGAAACCCTGCACCAGATGGCTGAAGTGGTAGAGCAAAAAAGAGCTTAATATTCATCAGAGCAGCATATTTTAATCGAATATGTTGAGTTTCATGAAATAGACTACCCGAGACTCTAGGCACAACATAGATCAATGGGAAAACGCAAATTGACTAAATAAGGTACAGTTGGGTGTATGTACACTTAAAGGGGCAATCAGCATTTGCTGCATCCATTTTTGGACTTATAAATTAATGATATGTACCCGTTGATTCTTGAAGAATAGAACTTATAAATGCCTCATGAGCTTAGTTCAACTGTCGTACCCCATCAGAACCCAAAATATAAGCTTGTTTTACTCCAAAGTTTGTAAACAAAGAAAATGTCAACAAACACTATATAGCCTTAAAACATGGTTAGCACTATAATTTTGATATCATGGTTGGTCAATCCTTGCATCCATAGCTATGTCTATAACTTTGAGAGTGATTACATTTCTCCAGCCTTCAGCTTTTTACTGAACCAGGGGCGGGGAGGCCGCTTTGTTATTGTTTCTACTGCTGATTGACACTTTAAACACCAGAGTACCAACTAGAGGTAAAGGAAGAAGACAAATTACCCATGTCACATAAAAACCAGGAAGCTCAGACTTTCCCCCTAAACTAGTGACACGTTGCCATACACATACCAGGCGAATCCCTCACTATCACATGATGTCACATTTACCTTATCACCTTTTGAAAGGAGAATCTGAGGGGGCCAGTATGTATGTGGTTTATAGGACATTATAAATGGTCAAACACATTTTTACAGCAAGTTATAAAGCATTACACCTGTAAGTAAAGTGTTACCATTTTACATGTAACTGATCCTGGGCCAGTTCTGATGTGTTGTTCATTAATGGTTAGGGATATGTCAAGGATTGGGAGAGCTGGCTCAAGATCAGTGGTTATGGGTGCAGTGCAGTGGAGCGCAATCTCACAGTTCATATGAGGGAGCAGTGAGGTTTGATGTCATGCAGTCCCCATGGGTACAGCAGAATGGGCATATGAAAGAGTTTCAGTGAAGACACACACACACACACACACACACAAACAGGGTGAATCTCCCAGCCAAGGAGGCAAAAGCCCAACACACCATCTGTTCCTCTTGTGTTTGAGTTCCAAATCCTAGTTATCAACAAAAACACACATACGACCCCTAGCTACCCCCTGGTGGCACACAACCCCTAGACGCTCACACACACACACACCTTCTTGACTTGCCCTGTCCCCATCTGCACACACAATCCGTATTCCAAACAAATCCTATGTACTATCAACCCTATCATCAAATCAAAGTTGATTGGTCACGTACACAGTTTAGCAGATGTTATAGCGGGTGCAGTGAAATGCTTGTGTTACCAGCTCCTAACGGTGCAATAAAATGTCAAACAACTACACAAATAATAAATAATCAAAAACTAGAAAGAAGAAATCAAGAATGTCAGAATTAATCCAGTTAATAACACAAATAATACTATCAGTAATCCAAATGCAATCTATGTGTATATACACCAAAAATATATAGTAAGAATGATACACTACATGACCAAAAGTATGTGGACACCTGCTTGTCAAACATCTCATTCCAAAATCATGGGCATTAATATGGAGTTGGTCCCCACTTTGCTGCTATAACAGCCTCCACTCTTCTGGGAAGGCTTTCCACTAGATGTTGGAACATTGCCGCGGGGACTTGCTTCCATTCAGCCAAAAGAGCATTAGTGAGGTCAGGCACTGATGTTGGGCAATTAGGCCTGGCTCGTAGTCGGCCTTCTAATTCAACCTAAAGGTGTTCGATGGGGTTGAGATCAGGCCTCTGTGCAGGCCAGTCAAGTTCTTCCACACCAATCTCGACAAATCATTTCTGTATGGACCTCGCTTTGTGCATGGGGGAATTGTCATGCTGAAACAAGAAAGGGCCTTCCCTAAACTGTTGCCACAAAGTTGGAAGCACAGAATCGTCTAGAATGTCATTGTATGCTGTAGCGTTATGATTTCCCTTCACTGGAACTAAGGGGCCTAGCCCGAACCATGAAAAACAGCCCCAGACCATTATTCCTCCTCCACCAAACTTTACAGTTGACACTATACACTGGGGCAGGTAGCGTTCTCCTGTCCTCCTGGCACCCAGATTCGTCCGTCGGACTGCCAGATGGGGAAGCGGGATTTGTCACTCCAGAGAACGCGTTTCCACTGCTCCAGAGTCCAATGGCGGCATGCTTGGCATTGTGCATGGTGATCTTAGGCTTGTGTGCGGCTGCTCGGCCATGGAAACCCAAACAGTTATTGTGCTGACGTTGCTTCCAGAGGAGGTTTGGAATTTGGCAGTGAGTGTTGCAACCGAGGACAGACAAATTTTACTTACAGTTGATCGGGGCAGCTCTAGTAGGGCAGCAATTTGACGAACTGACTTGTTGGAAAGGTGGCATCCTATGAGGGTGCCACATTGAAAGTCCCTGAGCTTTTCAGTAAGGCCATTCTACAGCCAATGTTTGTCTATGGAGATTGCATGGCTGTGTGCTCGATTTTAGACACCTGTCAGCAATGGTGTGGCTGAAATAGCTGAATCCACTAATTTGAAGGGTTGTCCACATACTTTTGTATATATAGTGTATGTTCATGTTAGTGTCACCTGATTATTTTTTTTTATATAGCCTACTGTAGTTGCTAGTAGAATAACGTTACAATTCAAATGTCATATGTAAAATAGTTTGTCATTTTGGAACTAAACCTCCCTTCCACTGCTTTGTAACACCTTTGCATAGTTGTATGATAACCTTTGCATAAAATGATAATGTATGCACTCACTAACTGTAAGTCGCTCTGGATAAGAGCGTCTGCTAAATGACTAAAATGTAAATGTAAAATGTTGTTTCGGTGGCCTGGCCCTCATCATCTGCTCTGTAAGCAAAGTATTCCCATAGTTCGCTTCTGAGCCAGTTTTGTCAATAAACTGCGGTCTGGAGGTATGATGTTTTCGTTAGAAGAAGCCATGCTGTCGGCATTTTAACTCTCTTGCTTGCTTCTCAAAATTGTCTTGCGCTGTGTCAGCAGCATGCTGCAAGTAGCCTGGCTAATTTACTACTGCCCCCTTGAGAACATTCAGACAAATTACTAGACAGACTCGTCATCTCAATCCGTAGGCTATGACATGAGACACATTTGACAGAAGTAGGCCTACCGAAAGTAACAAAAATTCTAGTACCGAACCATTTTTCATGTTATAGTATCGAAAGAGTAGCCTAGCCTACCGAAGTTTCGTTATAGGCCTACCGTGCAACTCGAAACGGGCAGAGAATGTGTTAAATTTGTCTAGGAGTGAAGCATCGGTGTCCGCGACGTGGCTGCTTTTCCCTTCATAATCCGTGATTGTCTGGAGTCCCTGCCACATGCATCTCGTGTCTGAGCCGTTGAATTACGACTCCACTTTGTCCCTGTCTGTTTGCCTATTTGATTAATTTACGGGGGTCGTAGCTGGTCAAATCTTTACATTGATGTGTACCTTTTCATTTCTCATGCATGTTCTTTTCTTTCCCTTGCCGTCATCTTTTTCCATGAGGAAATTATAAAGGAGTTTACAGCTAGCTCTCTGTTTATCTCTCGTTGACCTTTTCCAAAGCCCTGCTGTTCAACCCCAGCCTCTCGCTGTGCAGTAAAATCACCTCTGATGGAGACACCTGTCACCTGTGTGTGTGTGTGACCCAGGGGGCTGTCAAAACATAATGCGCACCCCGCCGTGTGGCGCCCCCTTCCCCGTGTCTGTCTCCGCCGCTACTCAAACACACCTGGACGCACATCTGGCGGCCAAACGCACCTGCGCGCCGATAAGACGTCAACCACGATTCCGCTGTTTGCACACAGGCGTCGGTTGAGTGAGCTTCCTCATTGAACAACAACTTTACCATTTATTCTGATGTGCGTTTGGAGGTGAGGTGAATTTATATTTTAAAAAATGTTTTAACGAAAGAGACCTGCAAGCCACGCTCACTCGGGCGAGGGAGAGAGAGAGAGAGAGGGAGAAACAGACAATTTACTGATTATATACGATGCGACCCCTGGGACTGTCGCTTACACCAGCACACCAAACACACGATCATTAACACCACTAATAAATCAAACTGTCGACCCGCGGGGAAATTATTCGCGTAGCCTATGCATCCGGCGGCACCAACTCACAGAATATCAATTTCAGAATATCAAAAACGAGTGGTTGTAGAGATCATCAGCCTTTGTCCCAAGACTGGAATGAATGTCTTAAGTACTTTCATTAATCCAAAATGTAAATTCAAGTGGTTTCCAAGTGGTTCCTAAAGTCTCTCCTTTTACCAAATATTAACGTTGTCATAAAATGTTTATTAAGAGCAGTTCAGGTAGCCTAGAAGATCAAGGAATAGGCTTAATACATTCCTTGCATAGAGCATATTTGTGGAACTATGTGGAAAATTAGAAGCCATGCCTGCATCCAAGGCTCACTGAAAACGTGCATTTGAACCATCATGTAAAAGGTAAATCAAAGAATTGGTGTTATGGGGGCAATTAGCCTTATTACGAATTCAAATAATCAAATACTTCAATTAGATGAGTAAGGTGTCATGATTGCCTGTAAAACCAAGGTGCTAAAAACTAATTTTAAGGTCCGAGTAGACCTGAATGACTGACGACAAAAATTGATGTAACAGAATGGATACCTTCCTGCATTTTACCTCGTATGAAGATGTTGAGCAGTATTCCGAGGAGCAACATCTTCGTTATGAGGCGGGCAGAGGCACCTGGACACGGGAAGGGAGATTCAATTGGACGTCTTGCGTTTGGTCCGCCACCGCTCTATACGACCGCACACCGACCCGCGCCACTCCACTCAACGTTACATCCACCGGGAGTCACGCGCCACCGTTCTGGGAACAAGTTGCAAGTGTATAGTCCTGTATAACAATTAATTCATTAGATTGCACTGGCGGAGAACCCAGCTCGGAAAGCTTAACTGTCACCACAGCCGAAGAGCGCAGCGTGTAGCGCGTGCCCTGTAGACTGAACACAATGAACCAAGACTCCAAAACTATTTACAGCTGTGAAACATCAGGTTACTCTGCATCCAAAGATAGATGTTCTCGAATTTTGACACTTTCTCACGCCATTTCTCTCTCGGCCGTGGCAAGATAGGAGCCCGTCTACATGCTGCCTTAGACCGTGAAGATGACGGATCCCTCCTCCTCGCGCTCGTCAGTTCACTGTACAACAGTGGGTTAAATATCAGTCAGAGCTTGAGCCAAGGCTTTCACAGACACAGATGCGTACTGAAGAAGAAATGCTCAGACAGGTCGACGGGGGGCATATAGTTAGGGGGGTAACCCTACTGTAGTAGGCTGGGCATATTCGAATTTGCCCATAGTTTCAAACTAAATAGGATTTCATGGTCGTTTGTATTTCATGTGCCGTATTCCAACATACATTATTGAATGCAGGTGCCCCTTATACTCTGATGACATACCCTGGTGTTTACTCATGTCAAGCCAATCAGGTGGGATGTCAACGTAAATATTGCCCTTTCGACATAATGGACTTTCATGTCAACAAACCCTCACTGTTGCGAAAGATTTTGGCTACAGCACAGGCTATGCTAGCATGGTCCCAGATCTGTTTGTGCTCTTGCCAACTCCATTGCTTATTGTCAAGCCAAACGCTAAATTTTTATTGCCAGACAAACTATTTTATTCTATGTATTCTATTGATGCCATGCAGTGCCATTCTATTATGCAGTCTATTCTATGTTGTTATATTCTTTGTATTTTGTTCTATTCAGGGGGTGAGCTGTGTCATGTGTAAGTGGAGAAGAGGCTCAGGGAGGTTTATGGCTGGGCAGCCATAAATAATCATGACAGAAGCGATGAGAGGAGGATCATGAGTTTATTTTATTTTACCTTATTTTTAACTAGGCAAGTCAGTTAAGAACAAATTCTTATTTACAATGAAGGCCTACCAAAAGGCAAAAGGCCTCCTGCGGGGACAGGGGCTGGGATTAAAAATACAAAATAAAATAAAAATATAGGACAAACCACACATCATGACAAGAGAGACACCACAACACTACATAAAGAGAGACCTAAGACAACAACATAGCATGGCAGCAACACATGACAACACAGCATGGTAGCAACACAACATGACAACAACATGGTAGCAACACAACATGGCAGCAGCACAACATGGTAGCAGCACAAAACATGGTACAAACATTATTAGGAACAGACAACAGCACAAAGGGCAAGAAGGTAAAGACAATAATACATCACACGAAGCAGCCACAACTGTCAGTAAGAGTGTCCATGATTGAGTCTTTGAATGAAGAGAACGAGATAAAACTGTCCAGTTTGAGTCTTTAAATTATTCATACAATTTCATAATTGGCAAACTCTCTGGCTGGACACCTGTGTGAGTTTCCGAGCTAAAATCTGCATATTCTAATGAGGCCAACCTGTCAGGATGTCACTGATTAGTAAAGACAATGGAACAAGAAAACAATGGGGACACTTAGGAAAAACATTGTCACTGGTTTCTTGTACAACAATGATCAGAATATTCAACTTAAATCTTTAAGACTGAGAGAGAGATTAACAAAACCTGGATGACTTCTTCTACTGTTGCTGGTATTTGCAACCAGTATTCCTGGTTTGTTATTTTAACCTCAATTGCAAATTACAAAAAGCAATCATCAGTGAGCCATTTTAATGATGACGCACACATACAGTGGGGAAAAAAAGTATTTAGTCAGCCACCAATTGTGCAAGTTCTCCCACTTAAAAAGATGAGAGAGGCCTGTAATTTTCATCATAGGTACACGTCAACTATGACAGACAAAATGAGATTTTTTTTCTCCAGAAAATCACATTGTAGGATTTTTAATGAATTTATTTGCAAATTATGGTGGAAAATAAGTATTTGGTCAATAACAAAAGTTTCTCAATACTTTGTTATATACCCTTTGTTGGCAATGACACAGGTCAAACGTTTTCTGTAAGTCTTCACAAGGTTTTCACACACTGTTGCTGGTATTTTGGCCCATTCCTCCATGCAGATCTCCTCTAGAGCAGTGATGTTTTGGGGCTGTCGCTGGGCAACACGGACTTTCAACTCCCTCCAAATATTTTCTATGGGGTTGAGATCTGGAGACTGGCTAGGCCACTCCAGGACCTTGAAATGCTTCTTACGAAGCCACTCCTTCGTTGCCCGGGCGGTGTGTTTGGGATCATTGTCATGCTGAAAGACCCAGCCACGTTTCATCTTCAATGCCCTTGCTGATGGAAGGAGGTTTTCACTCAAAGTCTCACGATACATGGCCCCATTCATTCTTTCCTTTACACGGATCAGTCGTCCTGGTCCCTTTGCAGAAAAACAGCCCCAAAGCATGATGTTTCCACCCCCATGCTTCACAGTAGGTATGGTGTTCTTTGGATGCAACTCAGCATTCTTTGTCCTCCAAACACGACGAGTTGAGTTTTTACCAAAAAGTTCTATTTTGGTTTCATCTGACCATATGACATTCTCCCAATCCTCTTCTGGATCATCCAAATGCACTCTAGCAAACTTCAGATGGGCATGGACATGTACTGGCTTAAGCAGGGGGACACGTCTGGCACTGCAGGATTTGAGTCCCTGGCGGCGTAGTGTGTTACTGATGGTAGGCTTTGTTACTTTGGTCCCAGCTCTCTGCAGGTCATTCACTAGGTCCCACTGTGTGGTTCTGGGATTTTTGCTCACCGTTCTTGTGATCATTTTGACCCCACGGGGTGAGATCTTGCGTGGAGCCCCAGATCGAGGGAGATTATCAGTGGTCTTGTATGTCTTCCATTTCCTAATAATTGCTCCCACAGTTGATTTCTTCAAACCAAGCTTCTTACCTATTGCAGATTCAGTCTTCCCAGCCTGGTGCAGGTCTACAATTTTGTTTCTGGTGTCCTTTGACAGCTCTTTGGTCTTGGCCATAGTGGAGTTTGGAGTGTGACTGTTTGAGGTTGTGGACAGGTGTCTTTTATACTGATAACAAGTTCAAACAGGTGCCATTAATACAGGTAACGAGTGGAGGACAGAGGAGCCTCTTAAAGAAGAAGTTACAGGTCTGTGAGAGCCAGAAATCTTGCTTGTTTGTAGGTGACCAAATACTTATTTTCCACCATAATTTGCAAATAAATTCATTAAAAATCCTACAATGTGATTTTCTGGATTTTCTTTTCTCAATTTGTCTGTCATAGTTGACGTGTACCTATGATGAAAATGAGGCCTCTCTCATCTTTTTAAGTGGGAGAACTTGCACAATTGGTGGCTGACTAAATACTTTTTTCCCCCCACTGTACACCCACACGTTATGGCCTTGTCCCATCACACAAATTATATGCCTCTGTGTTTTCACCCCAGAGGTCATATAACCCCACAGCCTGCTGAGGGACCAATCCACCAGGACCAATCCATTCAGCTAATCGGGAAGAGCTCTGGGACAACATGTGACAACACAGTCACCCTTAGCGGCTTTGGCAAAAAGCGGATGTTTTCAGGGATACAATATTTTCAACCTAACTTCCGTTTCCCCTGAAAAACAGGAGTGGGGACTACGCTCAGGCGTCTTTCTACGCATGCTACGTTAGGTTACAACACAATAGAACTGCTCCGCAACCTTCTGGGGTTCCATCTGGCTGGAACTACTGTTCCACCTGCGTTCTACCTTTTCTCAACTCTCTCGCTCTCTCTCTTTCTCCCTTTTTCTCTATTCTCTCTTTCACCACCCTTCTCAAGGTTTACAAACAGTTTATCTCATACTCAACCTTTCTCTCTCTTCCCCAGTTATTTTTCACGCTAGTACTGCTAAACTGCTGTCTACTACAATAATACCATACTGTACACTAATACCATTATCCTAAATCAGATTTATAGACATTTGTCATGAAACAACACAAAGATAATTACAGTGCATTCGTAAAGTATTCAGACCCCTTCACTTTTTCCACATTTTGTTATGTTGTTACAGTCTTATTCTAAAATAGATTAAATTATTTTTTCCCCTCATCAATCTACACACAATACGCCATAATCACAAAGCGAAAACAGGTATTTAGAATAAAAATACCTTATTTACATAAGTTCCTCTGTGGAGATGGGGGAACCCTCCAGAAGGACAACCATCTCTGCAGCACTCCACCAATCAGGCCTTTATGGTAGAGTGGCCAGCCTGCTTGGAGTTTGCCAAAAGGCACCTAAAGGACTCTCAGACCATGACAAACAAGATTCTCTGGTCGGATGAAACCAGCGGAGGAAACCTGGCACCATCCCTACGGTGAAGCATGGTGGTGGCAGCATCATGCTGTGGGGATGTTGTTCAGCGGCAGGGACTGGGAGACTAGTCAGGATCGAGGCAAAGATGAACGGAGCAAAGTACAGAGAGATCCTTGATGAAAACCTCCTCCGGTGCGCTCAGGAACTCAGACTGGGGCGAAGGTTCACCTTCCAACAGGACAATGACCCTAAGCACACAGCCAAGAAAACGCAGGAATGGCTTCGGGACAAGCCTCTGAATGTCCTTGAGTGGCCCTTGAACCCAGTCGAACATCTCTGGAGAGACCTGAAAATAGCTGTGCAGCGACACTCTCCATCCAACCTGACAGAGCTTGAGAGGATCTGCAGAGAATGGGAGAAACTCCCCAAATACAGGTGTGCCAAGCTTGTAGCGTCATACCCAAGAAGACTCAAGGCTGTAATCGCTGCCAAAGGTGCTTCAACAAAGTACTGAGTAAAGGGTCTGAATTCTTATGTAAATGTGATATACGTTTTTTATTTCTAATAAATGTGCAAACATTTCTAAAAACCTGTTTTTGCTTTGTCATTATGGGGTATTGTGTGTAGATTGATCAGGGGAAAAAACGGTTTAATCAATTTTAGAATAAGGCTTACATAACTAAATACTTTCCAAATGCACTGTATGTATGTGTACTCTGCTTTCGCATCAACATCTATTTAAAGAGGAGAGACTGAGGAGAGGAGGGTGAGTATCCACACAGGCATGTAATACCCAGATATTATTACAAAATCTCACAAACAATTTCACATGCAAATTCTCTCTCTCCAGTTTTATGCTTTTTAGTTCCACTTGAAATGGCAAATGACAAGCAATCCAAATCAATGAGGCGGTAGTTTACCAGCTCACAGAACCAGGAAGACAAAACAAACAAGACATTCAGTGAAAACTACACAATGCAGGATCCCTGTGATCATGCTATACACCATATACACTTAAGTGATAATGCCTGACTAGCAGGTGTTTGGAGGATATATTGGCACAGGTGTTGTTCAAACCGTGCCAATATATCGAGGGCATTCGAGGGCATTATCAGGTTACCAACATATTCAAATAATGATTGACATATTTTCATTAAAAACGTTATTTTTATGAATTTATTCATACTATTTCATCCTTCCACATGATATAGTCCCGACACAAATCTAGGGTAGCTAGAGACGCGACCCAGTCGTTCAGTCTTTTTGTTCTGTATCTATGGACGCAACCCAGTCGTTCAGTCTTTTTGTTCTGTATCTATGGACGCAACCCAGTCGTTCAGTCTTTTTGTTCTGTATCTATGGACGCGACCCAGTCGTTCGTTCTTAATGTTCCATTGCCATACTGGCTTGCAACGTTCTTATCCCTTGCTTGCAAGCCAGCCAACTACGGCTAATTTACAGTCACGTCAAAACGTGCAGCTTGAATAACAGCAAAGTAGCTGCATTTGCATTTGTTTGAGCTGTTTTCCAGTGACATTTATTTGGATACATCCATAACAATGAGTAGGGCGGCAGGTGGCTTAGTGGTTAAGCGCGTTGTGCCAGTAACCGAAAGGGCGCTGGTTCTAATCCCCGAGCCGACTAGGTGAAAAATCTGTCGATGTGCCCTTGAGCAAGGCACTTAACCCTAATTGCTTCTGTAAGTCGCTGTGGATAAGAGCGTCTGCTAAATGACTTAAATGTTAATGAGGCGCGATTTCGCCTGGCATAGAAAATGTGCTCACTGGTCAGGACACTGTGGTTCAGAGGAGCTAGCCAGTAACACAATCACTTCAAACTGAAGCTGGAAAGACGGCAAATTAGCTGCGTTTCGTTGTACCTTTTTTCAAGAGATTTTTTTGGTATATATCCAGAAAAATTATGCCAGCTGATTCATGATTTTGACTGGTTGAGAAACGCTGCCTGCCTGTCTGTCTGTCTGTCTCATCCCGACTCCCGACACGTTCATTACTATGGGACAGCAGGAGATCGAATTTGAATATTGAAACAATGTTACAAATGTCGGCGAGACAGACAGCAAGGTTTATACAAATCTCTGCTGTTGAAAATGAAATGTTAGTCTAAAAGAAATGTGAGATAATGTCTAGATGCTTTTTATAGTGGAGATTAAGTTTATAAATTGCCTGGCTGGGCTGATTAGACAGTGGATTGCCAATCAGATGGAACAGAGTAAATATGCATTTTAACACCATAGATTTAGCCGGTGGCAACTTGTGGAATAGACGCCATCTGGAATGCGGTTTTAACCAATCAGCATTCAGGATTAAACCCACCCTTTGTATAAAACGATATAGACACTCCTGTGCATGAACAAACACACACACACCAAATTATATACAAATGAATGCAAAAAGTTTCCCCATAGGTTTAGTTGAAAGTCTAATCTATATTACAGGCACACTGAGATGGTCAAGTTTAAACTCAGTTCTACTGCATGTTGCTCAACACACTTCCTTATTAAACATTTATTTGTATTTATTTTTTATTGCAACAATAATAACAATATTACACATCAATACAGGGACATTCCCGTGAATACAATGAAAAAATAAAATAAGAAAACTCCAAGCAAATAATTCAGGACATAATTTATATGTGACAAGGCATGGGTGGCAGTGTTTTATTGTTGTCACAGTACATAGATATATGTCTCTCCTGGTAAGTGACCGCTTGGTTCCACGCATATCACTATCAGGAATATCGGAGGGGCGGGAGGGGGTTGTGGGGGATGATTTGTTGTTTTTATTTTTTACTTATCTATTTCTTACTTAACACTTATTTTTCTTAAAACTGCATTGTTGGTTAAGGGCTTGTAAGTCAGCATTTCACTGTAAGGTCTACACCTGTTGTATTCGGCGCATTTGGCATTTTTGTTGTTGATTTGATTTGATTTGAGAGGGAAGGAGAGCAAACACATCCCTTTGAGAAAGAGCCTCCAGAGCTAATATTGACCAACACGCTAGACTACACACAGCAGGACAAATTAGCTACAGTACCGACGGCTGCATAAAGGATCCATGACACATGTTATCACCTGCCTGAATTAGGCCCGTTTGCCACTGATCAGCAGTGCCCAGACACAAATCGAGAGAGAGATCTTTCACAACTGAGAGACACGCACACACAAAAAAAACATGACTGCACACTGTATACTTATAACTATCATTGATTCTAGTACTCTGGCTCTATACATAGGGGCCATAAAAACAAACAAAAACATTCTCACAGCATCTAAAGTTTTCTTTTGGAGACCAATTCCCAAACACATAAATAAAATGCTGATATATATGCTGATAAATGCTGCCGACATCACAGTCTTAAAAATACATGAACAAAGTCCTGAGTAAGAGAAGACCCTGATAACCTTCAGCACCAGCTTCAAATAGCTGAAAATACAATATTTTTGGTTATTGAAAATATATTTCACAGTGGTTTAGATGGTAAAATGATTCTCTAGACATTTCTTGTTTTGTCACAAACTGAAATTAGGATAACTATTACAATTTTAGCAACCAGGAAATGGCGGAGCGATTTCTGCATATTGCACCTTTAAAAGTTTGTTTCAAAGTCTTGAAGACTTGTTGGGAGTTGTGTAACGGCAGAGCAGAGCTGAGGAGATGCAGGGTGAAAGGGAACAGATTGATGCTGCCTGGGGCACACCCTCAGGTTAGACTGGGGAAAGAGCTCACTCCCTCCCCCTGATTTTTAGGTGAGAGAGGCGGGGACACAGCTGTGTGTGTGTGTGTGTGTGATGCCAAGGCCCTACGGCTCAGAATCTGCTGTCGCTATGCAGCTGACATGTCTTAGCAACAGAGTGACAGTCTCTGTGACTAATTTGACTCTGAATACTACGCGGGAGAAGATATTCTGGAAAGTTCACCTCTACTTAAAATGTACCTGCCAGCTTTTAAAACTAAGAAAGATACACAGCTGGAAATTACCCAAAGGCAGCAGCATAAAATAGCAGAAGCCAACTCAGTTTTAAATGCTTTTTCTATTGAGAAGACATTACATTACACAGTTGCCATCAATTTCACAGTAATAAAACGCACTTTCAATGGTCAGACAGTCCCCTGTGGCTCCCTGCTACTGCCATGTATCTGTCTCCTAACCAAGGCCAATGTGGCAGGCAGCAGTCGTGCTAGCAGTGCTGTAACAATTTACAGCACTAAATCATATAATTTGTTTTGTATAGACTAATAAACACATTACTGTGTGATACAGTGCCCTGTAACCACTCAATGGCCCTGTGCTGTTGTGTGTACTGTGGGTGTGTTCCTTTGTCGCACACGTCAACAATTTATTTTGCAGTCAATCACCACAGCCTATCATGGTAAGACACACAAACACACACAGGATGGTGCAGAGAGAAGGGAGGGAACCTCCAAACCAGCACAAAGGGGGAAACACATTCATCTACTGTATATCCACCTCAGCATTATGTCCAGAAACCATGGTCAATAAAAATTGACCTTGATGTAAATCTCATTACCCTGAAGCAGGGCTCTTATTTGGAAGTCTAGATATAGTAATTCACTTTGTTTCATAGAGATACTTCAGATAAAGCACTCTACAGGGCACAGTCAAAGAGGAGGAAAGAGTGTCCCCCTCTCCTTCTTCTTCAAATTTCCATCTCGCCTTTCTTTGGCAGAGGGAAACGAACAAGCTGCTCCAAAAGGCATAATCAAAAATCCATAAAAGTAATCTGAGGGTGCAATGCAGTGCACCACCGCAAAGACATGGCCAAAATACTCCACAGTAGTCAATTCACTATTCACGTTGTTTTGTACCCAGACAGACAGCTCCTGCTATCACACAGTGGCTCACAGAGAAAGCAGATTGAGGATGTTTACAGACCGTTTTTATTCCCCTCAGCCTCAAACGAACGCCTCTAATTACCAACGGTTTGTGGCATGGCGCTCCACATACACAGACCCCCGATTTGAGACATGAGTAAAACTCATTTTTACAGAATGAAAAATGGATGTTACAGAGAGAGAGAGAGAGAGAGAGAGAGAGAGAGAGAGAGAGAGAGAGAGAGAGAGAGAGAGAAGACCTTGATGTGCAGGTGTAGTTGGTGTGATGGAGAGTTGCTAGCAGCAAATCAAATCAAATCAAATTTTATTGGCCACATGCGCCGAATACAACAGGTGCAGACATTACAGTGAAATGCTTACTTACAGCCCTTAACCAACAGTGCATTTATTTTTAATTTTAAAAAAAAGTAAAATAAAACAACAACAAAAAAGTGTTGAGAAAAAAAAGAGCAGAAGTAAAATAAAATAACAGTAGGGAGGCTATATTTACAGGGGGGTACCGGTGCAGAGTCAATGTGCGGGGGCACCGGCTAGTTGAGGTAGTTGAAGTAATATGTACATGTGGGTAGAGTTAAAGTGACTATGCATAAATAATTAACAGAGTAGCAGCAGCGTAAAAAGATGGGGTGGGGGGTGGGGGGCAGTGTAAATAGTCCGGGTAGCCATGATTAGCTGTTCAGGAGTCTTATTGCTTGGGGGTAGAAGCTGTTGAGAAGTCTTTTGGACCTAGACTTGGCACTCCGGTACCGCTTGCCGTGCGGTAGCAGAGAGAACAGTCTATGACTAGGGTGGCTGGAGTCTTTGACAATTTTGAGGTCCTTCCTCTGACACCGCCTGGTATAGAGGTCCTGGATGGCAGGAAGCTTGGCCCCAGTGATGTACTGGGCCGTACGCACTACCCTCTGTAGTGCCTTGCGGTCGGAGGCCAAGCAGTTGCCATACCAGGCGGTGATGCAACCAGTCAGGATGCTCTCGATGGTGCAGCTGTATAATTTTTTGAGGATCTGAGGACCCATGCCAAATCTTTTCAGTCTCCTGAGGGGGAATAGGCTTTGTCGTGCCCTCTTCATGACTGTCTTTGTGTGTTTGGACCATGATAGTTCGTTGGTGATGTGGACACCAAGGAACTTGAAGCTCTCAACCTGTTCCACTACAGCCCCGTCGATGAGAATGGGGGCGTGCTCAGTCCTCTTTTTTCTCCTGTAGTCCACAATCATCTCCTTTGTCTTGGTCACGTTGAAGGAGAGGTTGTTATCCTGGCACCACACGGCCAGGTCTCTGACCTCCTCCCTATAGGCTGTCTCATCGTTGTCGGTGATCAGGCCTACCACTGTTGTGTCGTCGGCAAACTTAATATAATAATAATAATAATAATATGCCATTTAGCAGACGCTTTTATCCAAAGCGACTTACAGTCATGCGTGCATACATTTTTGTGTATGGGTGGTCCCGGGGATCGAACCCACTACCTTGGCGTTACAAGCGCCGTGCTCTACCAGCTGAGCTACAGAGGACCACCCCCAGGTGGTCCTCTGATGGTGTTGGAGTCGTGCCTGGCCATGCAGTCATGGGTGAACAGGGAGTACAGGAGGGGACTGAGCACGCACCCCTGAGGGGCCCCTGTGTTGAGGATCAGTGTGGCAGATGTGTTATTACCTACCCTTACCACCTGGGGGTGGCCCGTCAGGAAGTCCATGATCCAGTTGCAGAGGAAGGTGTTTAGTCCCAGGATCCTTAGCTTAGTGATGAGCTTTGAGGGCACTATGGTGTTGAATGCTGAGCTGTAGTCAATGAATAGCATTCTCACGTAGGTGTTCCTCTTGTCCAGGTGTGAAAGGGCAGTGTGGAGTGCAATAGAGATTGCATCATCTGTGGATCTGTTGGGGCGGTATGCAAATTGGAGTGGGTCTAGGGTTTCTGGGATAATGGTGTTGATGTGAGCCACTTCATGGCTACAGACGTCAGTGCTACGGGTCGGTAGTCATTTAGGCAGGTTAGCTTAGTGTCCTTGGGCACGGGGACTATGGTGGTCTGCTTGAAACATGTTGGTATTACAGACTCAGTCAGGGACATGTTGAAAATGTCAGTGAAGACACTTGCCTGTTGGTCAGCACATGCTCGGAGTACACGTCCTGGTAATCCGTCTGGCCCTGCGGCCTTGTGAATGTTGACCTGCTTAAAAGTCTTACTCACATCGGCTACGGAGAGCGTGATCACATAGTCATCCGGAACAGCTGGTGCTCTCATGCATGCTTCAGTGTTGCTTGCCTCGAAGCGAGCATAGTAGTGCTTTAACTCGTCTGGAAGTCTTGTGTTACTGGGCAGCTCGCGGCTTTGCTTCCCTTTGTAGTCTGTAATAGTTTTCAAGCCCTGCCACATCCGACAAGCATCAGAGCCGGTGTAGTACGATTCAATCTTAGTCCTGTATTGACTCTTTGCCTGTTTAATGGTTCGTCGGAGGTCATAGCTGGACTTCTTATAAGCGTCCGGTTTAGAGTCCCGCTCCTTGAAAGCGGCAGCTCTACCCTTTAGCTCAGTGCGGATGTTTCCTGTAATCCATGGCTTCTGGTCCAGCAGGAAGGAAACACTCATTTAATGCCAGACAGACACAGGGGCCCAATAGATGCCTGGCTACATCACACTACAAAGCAGAATCACACCAAACCCAGTTAAGCAAGCCTAACCCCATGTGCCCATCCAGCCACATACTCTACAAAATACTACAGAACCCCATTCACCCTCCCCTCATGTACCTCCATTACATGCCATAGGCCTACAGATTAGTTACAAACACAACACCACCGCGGGGAAAAAACACCTTTGTGCAAAATCCAGAGACACTGGCTGTGTGCAAACTGTGCGTTTGAGGATGTGGTCGATGCGTGTGTACTCAGAAGTTCAAGGTGACAAGGTCCTATTGAGAGCATGATTATGATTATGATGACACATTCGAAGGCCTGTGTACAGCAGACCTCGGGAGAGGCTGACATCTTGTGAGAGAAAAGTGTAGTTGCGTCCCTTGCCATAAGGGACCACAGTCATCCTTTGAAACGTTTAGTTGTTTCGTTTAAATGTTTCATTCAACGATGAAAATGATACAGCTGTGGAATAGCCAAGGTTGAAGGATGAACCTGTTGGAAATGCACCTATATCTACCTGTCGAAACCCGGTGCAGTTCAAATACTTTGAGGTTTCTTCTCTAAATGACTTTCAACATGTATTGCTCCAAATGCCCAACCGTCACCCTCGTCTTCAAACGTGACTAATTTAATACGCTTTTGCACACGCCCCCGACCTCATCAGTGATCCAATCGCTTTTTACCTGTCACGGGATTTCACCGTGGTACCACTAATGACTAACAATCTGATCCTGTAATTCTGACTACTTTTTCGAGAGCTGGGATGATGGAGGAGCGTTCAAGTCAGGTAAACTAAAATGCCATAACACCGTTTTTGTTTTTAAGCATTGTTTATTAACATAACTCCGATAACTTGCCATGGACGTGTTTCTAAAGCAGTTCACTAGTTTTTCTGGCCTTCATGTAATATGATTAACACACTGGACAATGGTGTGCAATTAATGCCTTATGCAAGTGAAGTTCGCAAAATGTTGCTTGTTTCACTGAAAACATTTGCTCATACAATTCAACACCCTTAGCCTACTTATTTGTCCGTATCACCCAAAGTGTGTCTAGTTTTAAATAAGAGCGCCGTTCTCGGGTATTTATGAAGGTCGCAAAATGTTAGAAACTTTGATTCTGTAGGTTTGTGTGCAAAAGCAGCTAATTGGTTAGTATTGATCTACAAGACTCCCACATGTCTCAAGTACAGAGGCTTTGATCAACCGCCCACTCCGTTGGATAACAAAAAAGCACATTTTCAAAATTGGACTATATATTGACAGATTAATAATTCACTCGCACACCGACGCGTCCCAGCAGGTGTTGAACCCGGAGCGACTAAAGGCGCTGGAGAAGTGGCTGCAGGAGACTGAAGTCAAGCTGACCCAGGTCAATGGCCAGAGGAAATATGGAGGTCCGCCTGATTGTGAGTATGTATGATTGGAACCAAAAGGCCTATGGCGCTGTAAATGCTCTCCTGTTTTCAGTGGTAGGCATCAGACAGCTTATGTTGTTGAGGTATCCAGTGGTGTAAAGTAAAAAATACTTTCAAGTACCACTTAAGTAGTTTTTTGGGGTATCTGTACTTTACTTTACTATATATATATTTTTGACTACTTTTACTTAACTACATTCCTAAAGAAAATGTACTTTTTACTCTACATTTTCCCAGACACCCAAAAGTACTCGTTACATTTTTTATGCTTAGCAGGAAAGGAAAATGGTCAAATTCACGCACTTATCAATTGAACATCCATGGTATTCTCTACTGCCTCTGATCTGGTGGACTCACTAAACACAAATGCTTTGTATGTAAATAATGTCTGAGTGTTGGAGTGTGCCCCTGGCTATCCGTTAAAAAAAATATGAAAATTGTGCCGTCTGGTTTGCTTAATATAAGGAATTTGAAAATATTTATACTTTTACTTTGATACTTAAGTATCAAAAGTAAATGTAATTGCTAAAATATACTTAAGTATATTTAAAACCAAATACTTTTACTCAAGTAGTATTTTACTGGGTTACTTTTACTTGAGTCATTTTCTATTAAGGTATCTTTACCTTTACTCAAGTATGGCAATTGGGTACTTTTTACACCACTGGAGCTATCCATTCTTCAATGTATGAAGAACTGTAGACTTGTGGATAATATTTGCGAAATCTCCTGTAAGTAGATATGCCTACTAGAATAGCCATTTACTTAATCACACCCTAATGACACACACCTGTTGGTGATGAAGCGATCAGCTCACACATGGAGAACTAACTCATCTACAGGGAACAGATTGGCAAGCTAATTGGAATTAAGGCAAATTCACCAGGGGCGTATTCATTACGGAACTGTTTAGTTTCAGAACCAAACGGAAGCAAACAGTTTCTATTGAACATTCAGGTAGGTCCCTCACTGTTCCAATTGCTTCCGTTTAAGAAACGTTTTACAACAGAATCTGCGTAATGAATACGCCCCTGGGCACCTCCGATGTTTGCAGATCTGTAAAGTGGAAAAAATATGGAAGTTCCTCCACTACACTGCTTATACCTATCCATACCCTTCAGATCTGTAAACATCAGAAGGTTAGGGGAAAGGCTAGCGAGAGAAAATAACTTGCGAGAGAAAATAACTTGCAAGTCAAAGCCAATCTAATGAAGCCACTCCTGACTCCACTGCTCCCTCTGGTGATTAGACTGGCTTGGCGCCCCCCCTGGGCCGGGCTGTGAGGTGTTCATCAGCCAGATCCCACGGGACGTCTTTGAGGACCAGCTGATTCCGCTGTTCCGTGCAGTGGGCCCGCTCTGGGAGTTCCGCCTCATGATGAACTTCAGCGGACAGAACCGTGGCTTCGCCTACGCCAAGTACGGCAGCCCTGCCTCGGCCGCCGCCGCCATCCGCTCGTTGCACGGCCGCGCCCTAGAGCCAGGGGCACGCCTCAGTGTACGGCGCAGCACGGAGAAACGTCAGCTCTGCCTTGGGGAGCTGCCCATCTGCACAGGGAGGGAGCAACTGCTGCAGGTCAGGAGGGAACAGGGAGTGAGGGTGGGGTTGGTACAGGTGGAGGGACGTGTGGGGTGGGAATGATGCATGTAGAAACAGAATATTACAAAAATAGCTGAATTTACAGTTTTCTGGGCATGTTTGGTCTGTGTGTGTGTAATTCTTGTGTCCCACCTGCAGGTGCTGCGGGACTTCTCTGAGGGGGTGGAGGGAGTGTCCCTGAGAGCGGGGCCTGGGGAACAGGGGGTGTCTGCACTGGTGGTCTACGCCTCCCACCATGCAGCTTCCATGGCCAAGAAGGTGCTGATTGAAGGTAGGCCAGGGACCTCATGGAGATTTAGTGTACTGATCAGAGTACACAAAGCTTTCTGTTAGCAGCTCTTTTACATTTGAAATGCTCCCATCTGACCTTTAATAATTCCCTCTGCCTTTCCTCCTCTCTCTCTCTCTCTCTGCAGCCTTTCAGAAACGCTTCGGGCTGGCCATCACTTTGAAGTGGCAGTCCTCTGCTAGGCCCAAGCACGATGAGCCTCCCAGATCCCCCAAAACCCCTCCCTCCTCTCCTCCCAAACCTCCCCGCCGCTCCCTCCTCGACAGCCACCGGCCTCCCCTGCTGCCCCCGCGCCTCGCCCAGCGTCAGCTCCCTGCCTTCTCCCGGGCTGTGGGGGCGCCCTCTCCCATGGTGCACGCTGCTCCTGGTTCCCCCAGGGGGGCGTCGTCCATGTTGCCTCCTGTGGATGCAGCAGCACTGCTCCAGTGTGTGTGTGAGGTATACGGGCAGGGGAAGCCCCTCTATGACCTGCAGTACCGCCACATGGGGCCTGATGGGTTCCTGTGCTTCAGCTACCGGGTGTATGTGCCAGGGCTGGCCACACCCTTCACTGGGATGGTGCAGACTCTGCCCGGCCCCAACCCTGGAGCCATACAGGAGGAGGCTCGCAGAGCTACAGCCCAGCAGGTCCTCAGCGCTCTGTACAGCGCCTGATATACAGGGATGGGAGTGATGAGGCACAGATCCTCTACTTTTCATGTTTTATGTTTTAATTATGAAAATACTTAATGTTTTGCAGTCTTTTATATGTAGTAAGTAGATGCATGATTTTACTTTCCTTTTGAACCACTTTTGCATGTTTCTGCACCATTGTATGTTTCTCATTGTAATTAAATGAGATATTTGTCAAATGTCTAGCAGTTGTCTGTAATATGCAGTTGGGTGGTATACAGTGCATTCGGAAAGTATTCAGAACCCGTGACTTTTTACACATTTTGTTACGTTATAGACTCCCCCCCCCCCCCCCCCCCCCCCCCAATCAACACACAATACCCCATAATGACAAAGCAAAAACAGGCTTTTAGAAATGTTAGCAAATTTATAAAAAACAGAAATATCACATTTACTTAAGTATTCAGACCCTTTACTCAGTACTTTGTTGAAGCACCTTTGGCAGCGATTACAGCCTCGAGTCTTCTTGCGTATGACGCTACAAGCTTGGCACACCTGTATTTGGGGAGTTTCTCCCATTCTTCTCTGCAGATCCTCCCAAGCTCTGTCAGGTTCTTTTCAGCTATTTTCAGGTCTCTCCAGAGATGTTCAAGTCCTGGCTCTGGCTGGGCCACGCAAGGACATTCAGAGACTTGTCCTGAAGCCACTCCTTTGTTGTCTTGGCTGTGTGCTTAGGGTCGTTATCCTGTTGGAAGGTGAACCTTAGCCCCAGTCTGAGGTCCTGAGCGCTCTGCAGCAGGTGTTTATCAAGGATCTCTCTATACTTTGCTCCGTTCCTCTTTCCCTTGATCCTGTCTAGTCTCCCAATCCCTCCCGCTGAAAAACTTCACCACAGCATGATGCTGCCACCAACATGCTTCACCGTAGGGATGGTGCCAGGTTTCCTCCAAACATGACACTTGGGATTCAGGCCAAAGATTTCAATCTTGGTTTCATCAGACTAGAGAATCTTATTTCTCATGGTCTGAGAGTCTTTAGGTGCCTTTTGGCAAACTCCAAAGCGGGCGGTCATGTGCCTTTTACTGAGGAGTGGCTTCCGTCTGGCCACTCTACCATAAAGGCCTGATTGGTGGAGTGCTGCAGAGATGGTTGTCCTTCTGGAAGTTTCTCCCATCTCTACAGAGGAGCTCTGTCACTGACCATCGGGGTCTTGGTCACCTCCCTGACCATGGCCCTTCTCCCCCGATTGCTCAATTTGGCTGGGCGACCAGATCTGGGAAGAGTCTTGGTGATTCCAAACGTCTTCTATTTAAGAATTATGGTAATGTTTTGGTACCCTTCACCAGATCTGTGCCTCGACACAATCCTGTCTTGGAGCTCTACGGACAATTCCTTCGATCTCGTGGTTTGGGTTTTGCTCTGACATGCACTGTCAACTGTGGGACCTTTATATAGACAGGTGTGTGCCTTTCCAAATCATGTCCAGTCAATGGAATTTACCACAGGTCGACTCCAATCAAGTTGTAGAAACAGGATGCACCTGAGCTCAATTTCAAGTCTGATAGCAAAGGGTCTCTATACTTATGTAAATAAAAACCTGTTTTCACTGTCATTATGGGGAATTGTGTGTACATTAATGATAAATGTTTTATTTAATCCATTTTAGAATAAGGCTAACGTAACAAAATGTGGAAAAAGTCAAGGGGTCTGGTTACTTTCCGAATGCACTTTACATCTGAAATATCCCCATGTATTCCATACATGTACATTTGTTGAACTGAACAGTTAATCAAGCAAATATCAGATGAATCAGTTTATTGGTGGGTTAATAGAACAGGCATTTTATTGTCCTTATATAGGCAGATAGGTTAACCTTTAGTGCTCAGACTGAAGCTGTAATGCAGTGACTTACAACATTGCCTCTGATAAATGTACATAAGACAATAGCATGCCAAAGGTCCTTGAGGCTATGCAGGTGTCTGGGTAGTCGGCATGAAACCACTGCCTTTTTCTTAAGACCATTAATATGAGAGGCCTGGACAAGTGAAACTATTGGGGAATCAGGACAAATTCCACAGTTGAGAATGTTGGCGTGTGGAGGGCTTTGGGTGGTCAGCGATGAGACCTGTTTACCTGTGGTAAACAAACAACTGTTTTTGGGCCAATCAGGTGATGAGCCGGGGTGCTGTTGTCAGGCAGAACCATGACTTAGACGTCTGAGGTCCTTTTCTTGATCGCCTCCACTAGCTCTGCTCTTGACACGTCAACCTGAGAACCAGACCAGAGAGGAACGTGTGAGGGGTGGTGTTGTATTTAAGAGTGTGTGTTTACCAACAGATGGTGTGTGAATCTCACCTCTTCTCGGCTGTGGACCGTTCGGAGCTTCACCACCCCGTCCTTGAGCTCCTGCTCCCCCAGGATCGCCACCAGGGGGATCCCAGAGTCCTCACAGTGCTGCAGCTGGCTCAGCAGCTTGGGGTTCTTCTTATACATCACTTCTGCCTGACAACACACACACGGTCATATCAGTGCTATAAAAGGTTCCTCTTATGAATAGCCACTACCCACACTCAGCCTTTTCAGCAGTGGAAGTCATCTACACGCTCATCTCTCACTTACTGTAATCAATCTTAGATCGAACACACACCTTGATCCCAGCGTTCCACAGTTCAGCGGTCAGTCTGAGTCTCTCCTCCAGAAGGTTTTTCTGTGCCGAGGCCACCATGACCTGAGTTTCTGTGGTGCGCACCTTCTCCGCCGACGCCTGCGGAGCCAGACCCCAACACACCAGTCAGAAACAGTCTCTCTCTGGCAATAAACCAGCCTGTGTGGAGAGCTGGCAGCAAATATCAGACAGTGTTTGATAATGCCCTGTCCCCCTTCCTTACCTCAGCCTTCTGCTCCATGATGGAGAAAACCCTCTCGATGCCGATGCTGACCCCCACACACGGCACCTTCCTGCCCTTGGGGTCGAACATGCCCACCAGGCCGTCATAGCGCCCGCCGCCCGCCACGCTGCCCACGCTCACACCCTCCTCAGCCTTCTGGGCCGCCACCACAGGGACCGGGCCGGTCTGGGTCAGAATGGCCTCATAGATCACTCCTGTGTAGTAGTCCAACCCACGGGCCAGACTTAGGTCAAACACCACCTGGGAGAGGGGGAGGAGAGGAGGGAGGACACGGGAGGAAGGACCACAAGATTAATGATATGGCAAAAGGGACTGCAACCTCTCTGGCTAATTTCAGCTGATCATATCGTGACACCCATCTGTATAACCACTGACCCCCAAAAAACTATTTATGTTAAACTAAATGCCTCTACAGAGTAAGCTGTTGATGGACAGATTACCTCAGTCATATCACCTTGGTCACCAGACGACCTCTCACCTTGTCTGTGACCTGGAAGAGCTGTAGGTAGCTGAAGAGCTGCTTCATGTCTGTGAGGCCAGCACACGCCTGCTTGCTCTGCGACATCTTAGCGTCCTGCAGCAGGAGCTCAGCTAGGTCCATCCCCCCTGGAACACACACCAACCAACCAGTCAGACAGGGGAAAGGTCAAAGGTCAGTCTGCGTGTGTGATCTGTCCTCACCCTGCATACTGACATACTGTCCGATCTGATCGGCTGCCTCCTCAGACAGACCCTTCTCCTTCACCATCTCACTCCTCACATCCTCCCACGACATCTACAGAGAGAGAGAAAGAGGGAATAAAGGAACATTTTATCCTTATTTACTTGGTTTGCATATTAAAACATTGTTCAGGCTTATTGTTAAGCATTCCATTTCCTTAACCACATAAGAGTTGGGTTGGGTGCAGTGGGTTTACCTTGTCCAGTTTATCCACTGTGGAGCAGATGGTACGGAACTTGTCATCTGGAACGCCACAAACTGCAAACATTCCATCTAGAATACGTCTGTCATTCACCTGCACAGAGAGGATATTATGGTGGGGAGAAGAGTTGTAAGTCTACAAATACACACACCTCTCATGAATTCCTTGCTTCATATTGCATTTCATGATGTTTGACCGTGGGTGCTGTGTGTGTGGATGCGTCTCTGATCTACCTTGATGCGGAAATCTCCCAGCTCCAGCTCACTCAGGATCTCATGGACAATCTTCAGGCACTCAGCGTCTGGGATCATGGGGTCATACTGGCCTGCAATATCAAAATCCTGGGAGGGGAATAGACACACACACAGAGCTAGAAATTGGGTCTCCACAAACACCTGCATGTAGCAGAAACCAAGAAGGATTCCAATGTTATAGTTGATGTTGAAAGTCTAACACCAGAGTTTGCGTTTCACCCAATAACTAATCGCTCTGATGCTTACACACTGATAGAACTCCCTGTAGCGACCCCGTGTCATGGCAGGGTTGTCACGGCGATAGACCTTGGCGATGTGGTAGCGCTTGATGTTGGTGATCTTGTTCATGGCCAGGTAACGGGCGAAGGGCACCTGGGAGGGGGCGAGGTCAAGGACTAGTAGACACCTGATTGGCTCACAACGTGGATAAAACCCACAAGGGGACATATCGTTGGTTTGCTTTAGAGGCATGATTATGAAAAACTTTGGGAATTAACTGACCAACCTGCAGCCTATCCCACTTAGCAATATATGCATCATGACTAATACAAGGATACAGTGAGATCATATCTAAGGGACAGCAGCTCTCCTCCTTGGTCCTTCAGGTCGTAGATGAGCTTAGAGTCCTCCCCATACTTTCCCGTCAACGTTTCCTACAAAACCACAGATGGGAGAAAATGGTCAACCTAAGTACATTTGCATTAAAATCCAGGGGCTAGTTCATCTCTTTCTATTCTTCATCAACTGTGTGTTGTGTGTGTGTGTGTGCCACCCACACACACCTTCAGCTCAAAGACGGGCGTGTCAATGGTCTCGGCTCCGTGGCGTTTGAAACAGCGGATGATGGTGTTGAAGACTTTCTCTCTGATGGCCATCTGCTTAGGGTTATAGTCCCTGGTGCCCTGAGAGAGAGAAGGAGAGGGAGATGAAGAGATGGAGGGAAAGAGAGAGAGAAAAAGAGTGCATAAACAATCCATCACCTGGTGATTTGGACTTTCAATAAAGACAAGTAGTAAACATATTACACAACAAGTTATCTTAATGATCATCCACTGCCTGTGAGATGCACTCTCCATGGTGGCAGTCTATACCTTGGCAGTCTTGAGCGTAAATTGGTGTTTGCCTTCATCTCCTCCAATCTGAGCCTTCAGCTCTAACAATTTGGCCACTTCCTCATCGATCTAGGAAAGAAACAAACAAACACGGTTAAATCAGTGTTCATCAGGACCTTGAACAGATCCTCCCCCATCCCCATCCCACCCTCCAGAATCTGGGTCCTACCTGAGACACAGTCATCCCAGAGAGGGTGCGTAGAGAGCGGACACATAATCCAGACCGACGGCCCGCCAACCCCGCACACAGACGCAGGGACGCCATAACCAGGGTATTCATCGCAGCAGGAAAAGCAACCAAAAAACAACAACCAAAATGGCCGTTCAGGAGTGCGGTATCACAGCCGCAGTACAGTCCAATAGCAAAATCCACCAAGCCAGGTGAGGGATTATCCAATTCAAAAGCAGGGTTATCCAGGAATATCCAGTGGAAGTGTTTGGATCCCAAGTAGTGACATGTGGAGGAGGTAGATGAAGATTTGGCCCCAGCAGGGTGGTTGGCATCGAGCAGGAAGAACAGGAGAAAAGTGGTGAGCAACCCTATCACTAGGGAGGAGGGCGGGCATGACGCATCATCACAACATGGAGGACAAAACATGAGAGGCAGGGGTCAATCAAACCAACAAGCCTATCACAGCACAGAGACATGGTGGGTGCGGGACTTCACTGACCCCTGGAATCAGAACTAGGCCTACCTCTGGACCAGACAAGCACTGGGCCGTGTATAGGATGCACAAATCAGGATATATAAACAAAATAATTAAACTGTGTGTCCTACTGAACACGACCCTGGCCTGGTGATGTAGGAAGGTCTGAAGAGAGTCAGTGAGATCCAGCCCCCTGGCATACACAAACAGGTAAATGAAAAAGATATAGAAACACAGAAATAGTGTGAGAGAGAGAAAGAGAGGCAGAGAGAAAGAGAGGCAGAGAGAAACTGGTAGAGAGAGAACTATACAGTTGAGGATAGAGACTAAAGGTTGGGACAGACTCTTTGAGATAGTGCAAGAAGCTCAACATTCTGCCATTGAAAGGAACCATGTATTCACACAGGCAGGAAAACAAATGTACAACGAATGACCAGTCCACGAACCATTGTGCATGCCAAGACAGCGATCTTGCTACTATTATGCCAAATAACAGGAGATTGCATCAACTGTGATGCCTGATAGCTATTGTTTGCTGTATAATTTGGGCCACTATTATTAGCTACCTTAACCACATGCATCAGAATATCATTCATTATTTACTTCGCAATGGCCATAATATGAATGTCACTTCTAATTGAGTTAGCTATGTTGCGATTCATTCATCTGATAGTGGCCGGTGTTATGGCATTGCTACCGCTAGTTTATCGCATATGGCACGAGTGTGTTTCCACCGCATGTCAATAAAACGGAACATCGTGATTGGCCGTGAATACTGACCTGTTCTTTGCTAGCTTTTTCTGTCTTTAGTTTCCGCACGACTTCTCCTTGTGTTTTAATCGCATCTTGTATCTGCGCTTTATCGGCCATGGTGTTGTATTTAATGTCAAGGAAACTAGAAGGGCTATCTATGTGCTACTGCAGCTAACTCGTCCTCGAAGACCGGAAGCTGAGATCCTGATGGTATACCTCCACGTACCACACAGTGGCAGTATATTCAAGTCGGCGTTTGTCAGAGCGAAACAATGTTAATGTTCTTCTTCTTCTTCTTCGGGTTTTATGGGGGACTACATCCAAAAGTTGTATTGCCGCCACCAACTGGACAATTTGAAACCAATAAATAAATATAAATAAATAAATCCATACTTAATAGTGATTCTAACAATCCACCCTAATAAAAATAGTACATTGCCAAAACAAACAAAACTGCCACTTCTTCCTTCTTTTAGTTCTCCATATCTCCCTTCTCAGGCTCTAGGATCTGAGAAGGTGGTACGGCTTTTGCTAATAACTCCTTTGCTGTGAAATCTTTCAGCCCCAGGAACCGCTCTGCCGCAATCACAATGATTTCAATCTTTCTAGATATTTTTTCCACCTTGGCAGTGCCATTCATCACCATTGTACATGTCTGAGAATTGATTATATTGCTATACATGAGGCCATGCATGAAGAATGTCTTAAATGTATATGGTTGAGAATGGATTATGGACCTGCCATGTTTAAACCATATTTAAGTATTGATTGATATGTTTTATAATGTGTTATGGGTTAGATTGGATGTTTTATGTGCAAATGTATTTGTGTCTGGAGACTTTGTGTGCAGAGGGGGCCTATCTCTGAAACTGGGGAACTGCAACAGGCTGCAGGAGTGTGCACTTCCTAATCTCAAGGTTTCTCCTGACTGATAAGAGATGGCTGTTTTTTTTGCATGAGAAAGCTTGGTCCTGCCACTATTGTTTCCAAGTCTGAATGCATAGGAGGAGGAGAAGTCAGATTTCGCCACTATCATAAATTAAGAGAGTGGCGGAGCGGTCAAAGGATGAAGATTTGGAGACAATGGTGGAAGAACTAAACAGGGAGGGATTAGGCTAAAAAGTATGTAAAATGTGTAGGAATAGAACTGTATATAAACTGAGGACCGAGTGTTGGGAATTCAGATGCTCTGCAGACCACCTCGGCTTGATCTAATTGTAATAAAGTCTATCTTAATTCCACAAAAACTCTGGAAATACTTCGTTTTTTATTAAGAATAAGGACATTTTCTCCACATAATATGATATTTTCCACATCTCAGCTTCTCCCTTCTGCAAACACTTTCTACATGACCCAAATCTTTACAATAATATGGCATTTAGCAGAAGCTTTTATCTAAAGCGACTTACAGTCATGTGTGCATACATTTTTACGGGGATCGAACCCACTACCCTACCCTGTCGTTACAAGCGCCATGCTCTACCAATCGAGCTACAGAGGACCACAATGTTAGCACTGCATTGTTATTTGGATAAATGCTCTAACTCTGTAGTAAATGCACCCTAACCGCACTTTATTAGGGAGAGACTCCATTTAAAAAAAGAACAGATAAATTCTTCACTTTTTCCCCATTCACCACTAGATTCATCCGACGTGCTTCAATCACTCCAGGAATATTTTTCATCTCTTCCAAATCAACTTCCCACAAAACGCCAGATATAACCTCCTTAAGGGGTGCCCTGTTCCGAAGCGACATACACAACACTTCAAACGTATCAAATGGAATAACGCACGTTCCTTCTGTTCCGCAGAATCACACAAAATCAAAACAAGCCCGCCTCTCCTGATTTTCACTTTAACCAGCGCCCTCTCCACCAGTTTGGATAACTCAAATGGTTTCTTCAAGATTGGTACTCTACTCAGCAGCTCCTTATTAACAAACCGGTCATTCTCATCACTGTACCCTACTTTGCTCCGTTTTCCAATCTTTTGAACAATACTCCAATTCTCCTTGATTCTCCCGCCATTGTATTCAGATTCCATTTTATCAGCCGCTTCCGCCACCTTCCGTGAATGTCGGGTTTGTAACATTGAGCCTTGACGAAACAATGTAGCAATTTAGCACAAGTAAGTAGTACATGCCAGATACATTGTAACAATCATCTTTTAGTAGCAAGACATGGAAGGAAACGAAGGCACTTGCAATAAAAAGGTGCAAGGAGTTTCACGCATCATACGCTGACTAATAACTTTATTTTATACAGAACTATAAATCTCAGATATCATACAGTATAAATAGTGTGCTTTTCATCAACTGCATAGGTAGGGGATGTAGCTCAGTGGTAGAGCGCATGCTTTGCATGTATGAGGCCCCGGGTTCAATCCCCGGCATCTCCACTCCTTTTTAACATAGAAATGTTTTCTGTTGTTAAAATTGTATTTAAATCAAATCAAATAAAAATGTATTTGTCACATGCGCCGAATACAACAGGTGTAGACCTTACAGTGAAATGCTTACTTACAAGCCTTTAACCAACAATGCAATTTTAAGAAAAAATAAGTGTTAAGAAAGTATTTACTAAATAAACTAAAGTAAACAATAAAAAAATAAAGATGAAAATAGAAAAATAACAAATTATTAAAGAGCAACAATAAAATAACAGTAAGGAGGCTATCAAGCAGATCAAGTTGACTATAATGCACCATATACCCAGATATATGAAGAAATACACCAATCAACAAACAGTGTTTCTCATCAACAAAAATAGGTTTATTAAGAGCCTTAATTTTATGGATTTCTTTTGGATTTTTTTTTCTCCTAGTAGGCTATTATTTGTCATCTACGTTCTCAGTAACCCAAGTGCATTCAAGAACAACTCAGATTAAGAGTGGAGAGCCCAGTACTACTAGCATTAAGAGTGGAGAGCCCTGTACTGCTAGCATTAAGAGTGGAGAGCCCTGTACTGCTATCATTAAGAGTGGAGAGCCCAGTACTGCTAGCATTAAGAGTGGAGAGCCCAGTACTACTAGCATTAAGAGTGGAGAGCCCAGTGGAGAGCCCTGTACTGCTAGCATTAAGAGTGTAGAGCCCTGTACTGCTAGCATTAAGAGTGGAGAGCCCAGTACTGCTAGCATTAAGAGTGGAGAGCCCAGTACTGCTGGCATTAAGAGTGGAGAGCCCAGTACATCTGGCATAAAAAATGGATAGCCCAGTACTGCTGGCATTAAGAGTGGAGAGACCAGTACTGCTGGCATTAAGAGTGGAGAGCCCAGTACTGCTTGCATTAAGAGTGGAGAGCCCAGTACTGTTAGCATTAAGAGTGGAGAGCCCAGTACTGCTTGCATTAAGAGTGGAGAGACCAGTACTGCTAGCATTAAGAGTGGAGAGCTCAGTACTGCTAAAATTAAGAGTGGAGAGCCCAGTACTGCTAGCATTAAGAGTGGAGAGCCCTGTGCTGCTAGCATTAAGAGTGGAGAGCCCAGTACTCCTAGCATTAAGAGTGGAGAGCCCAGTACTGCTAGAATTAAGAGTGGAGAGCCCAGTACTGCAAGCATTAAGAGTGGAGAGCCCAGTACTGCTAGCATTAAGAGTGGAGAGCCCAGTAATCCTTCTACCCCACCCCCCAAAAAACATAAATAATAATAATAATAATTAAAATAAATAAAATAAAAAACAATATATATATATACAAAAAATGAAAATGAAAAATATACTCTAAAAATTTAAAACACATTTTTTGGAAAAAATATATTTAAAAAAATTTGTAAAGTCGTTGTCCCACTGGCTATCATAAGGTGAATGCACCAATTTGTAAGTCGCTCTGGATAAGAGCGTCTGCTAAATGACGTAAATGTAAATGTAAATATACATGGCATTGGTTTAGCCTAATAGCCTAACTTAGTATATAGTATATTATATATTATATATATATTATATTATATATTAATAGTATATTCTGTAGGCCTATTTTTCATCAATATATCACGTTCTGTTACTTTTTACTACTTTTATTTATATAGTATTTGTATTCACTTGTAGTTTGTTTACTTTTTACATTGCGCTGTTGAGGAAGCTTGCTAGTAAGAATTTCACCGTTTATACTGTATCCTGTGCATATGACCAATCAACTTTAATTTGATTTGATTTGATAACATTGTCATGCCCATTTTATTATGTGATAGTCAAGGATTTGTGCTGCACTTATTCTTACGAACAAATGTCAACAGACAGTCTGACGTTGAGTAGTCTAGTCTCAGCTTTCTGCATGTGCTCACTGACAATGTTTTGAAACAAACATCAGTGTTTTGGTGTGAAACCTTATGTATTTTATTGTTTAGAATGTCTCTCTGAAGGCATGAACATGTCTACTACAGGTTAGGTTACACTTCTAATGTGTAGATTGTCAGTAATACAGTGGGGAAAAATAGTATTTAGTCAGCCACCAATTGTGCAAGTTCTCCCACTTAAAAAGATGAGAGAGGCCTGTAATTTTCATCATAGGTACACGTCAACTATGACAGACAAAATGAGATTTTTTTTCACCAGAAAATCACATTGTAGGATTTTTAATGAATTTATTTGCAAATTATGGTGGAAAATAAGTATTTGGTCAATAATAAAAGTTTCTCAATACTTTGTTATATACCCTTTGTTGGCAATGACACAGGTCAAACGTTTTCTGTAAGTCTTCACAAGGTTTTCACACACTGTTGCTGGTATTTTGGCCCATTCCTCCATGCATATCTCCTCTAGAGCAGTGATGTTTTGGGGCTGTCGCTGGGCAACACGGACTTTCAACTCCCTCCAAAGATTTTCTATGGAGTTGAGATCTGGAGACTGGCTAGGCCACTCCAGGACCTTGAAATGCTTCTTACGAAGCCACTCCGTTGCCCGGGCGGTGTGTTTGGGATCATTGTCATGCTGAAAGACCCAGCCACGTTTCATCTTCAATGCCCTTGCTGATGGAAGGAGGTTTTCACTCAAAATCTCACGATACATGGCCCCATTCATTCTTTCCTTTACACGGATCAGTCGTCCTGGTCCCTTTGCAGAAAAACAGCCCCAAAGCATGATGTTTCCACCCCCATGCTTCACAGTAGGTATGGTGTTCTTTGGATGCAACTCAGCATTCTTTGTCCTCCAAACACGACGAGTTGAGTTTTTTTGGTTTCATCTGACCATATGACATTCTCCCAATCCTCTTCTGGATCATCCAAATACACTCTAGCAAACTTCAGACGGGCCTGGACATGTACTGGCTTAAGCAGGGGGACACGTCTGGCACTGCAGGATTTGAGTCCCTGGTGGCGTAGTGTGTTACTGATGGTAGGCTTTGTTACTTTGGTCCCAGCTCTCTGCAGGTCATTCACTAGGTCCCCCGTGTGGTTCTGGGATTTTTGCTCACCGTTCTTGTGATCATTTTGACCCCACGGGGTGAGATCTTGCGTGGAGCCCCAGATCGAGGGAGATTATCAGTGGTCTTGTATGTCTTCCATTTCCTAATAATTGCTCCCACAGTTGATTTCTTCAAACCAAGCTGCTTACCTATTGCAGATTCAGTCTTCCCAGCCTGGTGCAGGTCTACAATTTTGTTTCTGGTGTCCTTTGACAGCTCTTTGGTCTTGGCCATAGCGGAGTTTGGAGTGTGACTGTTTGAGGTTGTGGACAGGTGTCTTTTATACTGATAACAAGTTCAAACAGGTGCCATTAATACAGGTAAGTGGAGGACAGAGGAGCCTCTTAAAGAAGAAGTTACAGGTCTGTGAGAGCCAGAAATCTTGCTTGTTTGTAGGTGACCAAATACTTATTTTCCACCATAATTAGCAAATAAATTCATTAAAAATCCTACAATGTGATTTTCTGTATTTTTTTTTCTCAATTTGTCTGTCATAGTTGACGTGTACCTATGATGAAAATTACAGGCTTTAAAGAAAGTATCACTGCCTCCTTCTCACAAATGATCCAAAAAATATAAAAATTAAAGAAAGTTGGTTCAACACAGTGGCGGGTCATTTTGACCCTAGGACAACGGGAGGGTTAAGTGGGAGAACTTGCACAATTGGTGGCTGACTAAATACTTTTTTCCCCCACTGTAGAATACCCTATTTTAGTCACACACACACTTCTCACTAGCAGTGGTGTCTGTGCAACATCAGATGATTCTGCTCCCTTTAGACATCTAGTTAACAGGGGGATGTTGGAGGCACAATAGGCACATTGTGACCTACAATACCCAGCTAACAGCAGGACCTACACAGTCACAGTATTGATCTGTATTGTCCTCCAAGTGATATATGGAGTTGGCCTCACTTGATGCCAGTTACTGTAAGTCTAATGCCAGTTGTCCTAGACATGATACCAGTCTGTTTCAGCACTGAGATGCCTGCCTGGTTGCCAATTTACCATACTAGTTTTACTTTAATTTAATTAAAGAGTGAAAAATGAAATCAATCAGATGGTGTCAGTTGATGATCTGGTGATTTCAACAACCTTCCCAACCCTGTTCTTGTCATTTGAGCAGACTGGCATCATGCAATGAACACCTTTCCTTCTAGAACTACAGGTATGTGACAGGATGTTACAATTAGCGCAGTGAGAACTCATATATCCTCCATGTTCGATAGTGTAAAAAAACAGGACATCTGAAAGATGTCAGTTGTGAGGTATGCTACATGTTGAGTGAACAACAAAGACTCCATGCAATGCTGAGTGCCCAAAAAGTTTCTCAGTTGCCTGGGGAACCACAAGTTCAGCCCCACAATTGGGGCATTCGTAGATTCCCAGACACACAACCCCATTCACACATTCAACCTTATACCCCCTTCCCTGTTTCAGGGGTCCAAAAATACAGCCTCCATGCATTAACCATCTCCCCCTCCAGCACATCACCTTTGACCCCGCCCAACCACCGCATACACTTATGGTCGGCCCCGTTGTCAAGACAGCAGGGTGAACTACTTTCTATTTTCTCCACTTAGTTTGGCAGCCAACTCTTTAGATTTAAGGAATTTGAATATTGTCAGTGGAGTTAAACCACAGACGAACGGGGTCAGTTGGTGACGTTGTGTTGAGTGGTTGAGGTTCAGAATTAGGGGTTTAAACGAAGAGTGGTGGTGATAATTTTGCTGTTAGGTCTGTATTTTATCCCGTTTTGTCTCTGCTTTGACAGGTTCTGGTTAAAGATTAGGGGCAGATCAGGGGGATCACGTTTCCTTGTAAAAACAGGGAGTCCTATCTATGTGTGCTTTTTCAATCATACCTTTTCCCCTGAGATATAGAGAATGAAGGAGAAAGAGAGAGACGGATGCATCTATACTGGTGCATCTGGAAAAGTACTCTGTTCTCTAATTTTGTCTCTGTATCACGTCGTAGCTCAGTTGGTAGAGCATTGCGCTTGTAATGCCAGGGTAGTGGGTTTGATTCCTGGGACCACCCATATGTATGCATGCATGACTGTAAGTTGCTTTAGATAAAAGCGTCTGCCAAATGGCATATATTATTTCTCTGTGATTGTATTTAGAATTGTCTGTCTAAAATCAGTATTATTTCCAGAAGGAGGTCAGTAGGCTTCAATAATACCCCTGTAGAGGGAAATAGAGAGCCAGAGAGCGAGATCTGTTCAAATCTTTGTCTTTAATTTTTTTAATCCTGTCATTAAGAGGATTTCATCAAAATGTTACTAACCCGCCTCCTCACTACACACAGTCAAACATGTGGCCACACACACACAACATTTATGCTGTCTCATTCTCACTAATCCAACAGAGAGAAGCTTTAGTTACACATTCAATTAATTTTTATACACAGTGCCAAACATGTTTCTGAGCCTAATTGTTTTATTTTTTAAAAACATAGATTCATTCAAATTGTGCTTTCATATTGAATTTGCAATAGGCTACATATTAACTTCTCACAATTAATTAGGAGCTGAACAGTTGGAAAGCATTGGCAGCCATATGCTGTGAGTGAGTGATGGAGAGAGAAAGGGAAACTGTCAATCTTCTTGCAGGATGGAAAGAGGCTTTTTCTCCATTGATACACACCACACGTACAAAAACCCGCACACAGATTGTGTTGTAGGGGTGGTGGGGGCAGTATGTAGGAAACTATTGTGAGAGATCCGAAACATGAAGGGGGGTGGGGGGGGGGGGGGGGGGGGGGGGGTAGCAGGAGGGATGATAGAGGGACACATCTGTTCAGATTGAGTGCGAGTGAGAGAAGAGAGATCAGCGAATGAAGGACATACAAGTCAGGGAAGAAGAGCTGGTAAGCATAGGATAAACTGCATTTTATCTTGTTTTATCTAATGCTGCTCTGTCAATCATTAACTGTCGTATGTGTGTACACACTTTGTTTGTGTGTATGCACTATTTCATGAGTGTGCAAACTAGTGCATACAGCATGCATTCATGTTGCACTATGTCATGTTTCCAGTAACGGTGTACAGATGTATTTAGCTTTAACAGATCATATATTTTTTCGCACCCCCTCTTCATTAGTAGATTAGCAGCATGTATATTAGCACGTACAGTATATGCTTTTTAGCTACTGTGATTGTCTGACAGAGGGTGTTAGAACCATTTGTGCGTGATGCACATGCACTGAACCAGATGGCGGGTCCAGGTCCAGAGTGTGTGTTTGGAACCCAACATAATTAAAGAATCCATTCATTAACACCCATTGACCCTCACTGCACTTTCATTACTCAACCATCACATGCCACCCTCCACCCATCTTACTCTACCCCTTTCTTTTTCTTTCTTTCTTTCTTTCTTTCTTTCTTTCTTTCTTTCTTTCTTTCTTTCTTTCTTTCTTTCTTTCTTTCTTTCTTTCTTTCTTTCTTTCTTTCTTTCTTTCTTTCTTTCTTCCTTCATCCTTGAAACGAAGGCGGAGACACCACAGCTTTTATTTCCTCCCTTTCTCCTTCTATCCGTCCCTTGAGAAAAGGACTGAACCCCCATTCCACTTTATCTCATTACTTTACAACTGTCCTCCACCATCCCTCCATCCATCCTTCCATCCCTCCCTCTTTGCCCCCCTTCTTTAACTAAATGACACCCGCTAATTTCATTAAAGCACCACGTCCTTCTCAGCCCCCCTTACTCCCAACCCCATCCCATACACACTTTCCCTCTGCATTTAAATCCAGTGTCTTCTTGTACACACTAACACACCCCTCCCCTATTTATTTTATGCAAATGTTCTTCCACCTCCTGATTAGATATTTCTTGATTCATCTGCCTATCGAACATGTATGTAGCCTACATCTCCTGACTATCTTCATTGACATTTTCATTCATCATTATTTTCAGGATAATATTGTACCTCTGCATGATATAGGCTACATATTATTTACATTTTCTCAATGATAAAGAAGGAGATTTACTCACTTTTATGCTGAGTAAAAAACTAGGCTATACAGCTTTGTTGCGATAGTGCTGGCCTATTATAATAATGTATATACCTCTGCATGTTTGAAGGATTTGCGACATATGGTGCAAAGGGCAAGCTTGGTAAAGCCATTTAAAGCCTTTAACATAAAGTGTGTCATGTAATGACAGCATGATCAGAGATAGCATAAACGTTTTCTTTGGCAACAACAGCAGAAAACGAACATGTAAACTGGTGCTCTCCCATCCCCAGAGCGTTTTACCAGCAGTGCCAAAACGTCCGGAGATGCACTGGTCCTGTCACGGCTTATCTTCACTCCTCACCGTCAACCCAACCATGAAGGACGGATGACACCTCGGAGACCTGGACCCGTCGCTTGGATGAACTGACCTAAGGCGATAAATGTTCACTCCAACTTTGTTTTCCGAGTTTCATTGGAATATGTGAACGCCAGCAGGATGAAGGCAGCAGCGTGGAGTGTTCTCCTCCTGTGCGCATGCACGCAAACCGTGTCCGTGTCCGGGGTCCAAGGCTCGGCAGTTGCCCCAACGGACACAACAGCATCCACCTCCTCTGCTCCTGTTACCCCCACTGACGACCAAAGCACTGGACTGGTGGTGAGGAAAAATGCGGAGGCATATAATACCCTAGGGCTATTTTATTATTCATCCAGCATGGATTATTTATTCCAGCAAGTTGCTGTCATTTATGGATGGCCTCTGAAGTGAAAATTGTGAATCGAAAGAATTGTGAATGCAAATTCACTACCAAAAGTGATAAATCATATGCCTTTATCTGATTTTGTATCATAATTTTTTTTTCACTTGACATCGTTGCCTGCAAGGCCAGTGTTGCGCAAGCTTATATTTTTTATTGTGAAACTGGGCTCACATGGATATGGACCTGTACCTTCACAGGATTAGTTTAGATACTGTACATAGACACACTTTGAAGAGCAGTCAAACTCTGATTTTCACTTATCTAATCTTCACTTAGTTTAGTGATCTCTTTACCCTCTCAAAATGTCCACTTCTGCTACCCAACATATGTCTCTATGCAGCACACATTTTATGACTGACCTACTATAATGCCTCTCAATCCAATGCCTCTGTTTCCTGTCCCAGGATTGGCTGACCAGGTATGGCTACCTCCCGCCCTCAGACCCCTCTACTGGACAGCTACAGGCCTGGACAGCTGTCACTCATGCTGTTAGAGCCATGCAGAGGTTCGCAGGCCTGGAGGAGACAGGAGTTGCAGGTGAGAAAATAGAAATAGGGTTGGGACAATTAGGTTGATTATATCCATCCTCTCTGTGTTGCTCTCGCTCCTTCTCCGTCTCTGTCTCTTTCTCTTTTTCTCTCCCGATCTCTCTCTCCCTCTCTCTCTCATTCACTCCTGTATTACTGACCTATTGTTGACCTCCTCTCTCTCTGTCCTCTCTCAGATGAGGAGACACTGGCTCTGATGCGAGCCCCACGATGTTCACTGCCAGATGAAGGGGAGGAGCCAAGACCACTGGCCAATCAGCTCCAGGAGGGGCAGAGCCTGAGGAGAAAGAGGGCTGTGACCACATGGACACGAAGGAACATCAACTGGAGGTTCATAAGACTACTGCTCACTATTCCTCCTTCTTCATCTCTGTATCTTCACTCTCAATCCCTCTCTAATTCTCCCTAGGTTGCGTTCATACCCCACCTCCTCCTCCCTCTCCCGTGAGACGATTCGCTCCCTGGTGTTCTACGCCCTGAGGGTGTGGGCGGACCCAACCCCGCTGGAGTTCCACGAGGTCAGTCTCTTTCCCTGGATGTGTTAGTTGAATATAAATATATTCTCTCTCACTCTCGCTCTCGCTCTCTCGCGTTCTCTCGCTCTCTCGCGCTCTCTCGCTCTCTCTCTCTTCACTTCCTGTTTCTCCTGTTGCCAGGTGGGAGGCTCAGAAGGGGCAGACATGCAGGTGGACTTCCTCCACGGTTTCCATGGTGATGGATACCCCTTTGACGGGGCTGGGGGAGCTGTTGGCCACGCCTTTTTCCCCTCTGACCCTGCTAGAGCAGGCGGAGTACACCTGGACGCCGAGGAGGAGTGGGCGTTCCGTCAGCCAGGTGAGTGACAACCAAAAGAACCAGAGACAGCAGAGAGAGGTACTGGGTGATTCAAGGGCCCAATTCCAAGTCAAACAGTAGATCAGAAAATTAAGGATAGTATTCGTATTACACTGATAGCGCCGTGTAGCCCTCTGGTAGGTGGAATTTAAGTTTGAGTCTCCACTGAGGTTCACAATAGAAATGGGTTTGGATGTAAGTTTTCAATTTGGAGAATGTTATGGACACAGTCAACACACTACTAACAGTCACCCTAACCCCCCCCCCCCCCGCCTCACCCCAGCCTCTGAGGGTACTGACCTGTTCACGGTCCTGGTGCATGAGTTTGGCCATGCCCTGGGTTTGTCCCACTCGTCTGCCAGGCGCTCTGTGATGAGACCCTACTACCAGGGCCCCGTAGGAGACCCTCTACACTACCGCCTGGGCCCCCATGACCTGGAGCACATCACCAGGCTCTACGGTCAGTCTCTGTGTGTTTGTGTGTGTATGTGTATATGTGTGGGTGTGTGATGGGTTCTGAAACGACGGTGTTGTGTTTGCAGGTAATAGAAATCACTTCATGGTCACAGACGTTCCCCGGTTGGCTCCTGAACCTCAGCTGCGGCATCGCGACAGGCACGGACACCGACACAGACACAGGTACTGACACACTTCAGACACAAGGACACAGAGAGGGAAACAAAAGAGGATAAGGCTTTAGCCACTCAACAAATAACTCTCTCCCCCATCTCGGCATTCCCTCCCTCCCTTTCACTCCTCCTCTCTGTTGCTCTCTCCTTCTCTTTCAGCCATTTTGTAGACCGCTGTAACACTAGCTTTGATGCAGTGGCCAACATTAGGGGAGAGACGTTCTTCTTTAAAGGTGAGTGTGGTGTAGATAGGCTCCCTATTGGTTGGCTGCTGTGACTATTGTCCCCAGGTTCCCTCATTATTCTAGTGGCATGATCGCCCCCTGGTGGATATATCCACAATTGCAGGACTGTGTACTGAACTGAACTCTGTCTCACCTCTCTTCATCTTTCCTTCACCCCATACTCCTTTCTCTCTTTCTACCCTTCCTACCGTACCTTCCTCCTCTCTGTTCCTCACTTCTCTCCCACCCTCTTTCACCTTCTACATTATTATTTTTTCCTTTCTCATCTGTCACCTCCTCACCTCCCTCTTCTCTCTCTGGCAGGGCTGAGTATGTGGCGGGTCAGTACTGGGGGGCTGGTGTCGGGCCGGGGGGCCTCGGTGAGGAGGTTGTGGGGGGGTCTGCCCCCTAACCTGCCCCCTCTGCAGGCTGTGTTGGAGAGACACTCAGACCACGCCATCATCTTCATCACTGGTAGGTAACCTCTGACCCCAGTCACCCCACACACTCCACCTGCACACAGATAGCTCTGGGTAGAAGTTGCCCTTAGGCACAGATCTGGGATCAGCATTCCATCCCTGACTCCTAACCTTAACCATTTTTAGAGGGGAAATTATAAACTGACCTTAGATTAGAGTCTGGAGGTTATTCTACTCCACATAGTATCACAATGCAGAAGTGACACATTATCAACAACAGTGGAGAATTAGTGCTACTCAACTGACTAAACTGTTAGAGTTTTTATCAATTGCTTGAGAACATTTGTCCAAACAGAATTCACTTTTTCAAAACAATTAACAAAATGCAAAAAGAGACTCAAAACATTAGATACATTACACAAAATCAAACATACAGCCTCTTTTTTATGTCTGTGACATTGGTTGATACTATAATTATATAGTAAAAAATATAATATATTATTTTTTCCTAAAAGGATGTTACCAAAGATGACCAATGCAGAAACAATGTCACTCAAGAGCATGAATATCCAGAAACAAAAGGCTTTATTTGACCTTTTTCCATTTGAACTGAGAGCTGAACTATCTTCCTCTATGGGCCCCTCTACCGCTCCTTTGTCCTTGCCCTCAGCCTCTTACTTGGTCCATGCTTGCATACAGCTACTCAGAGGTGACCTCTTTGATGCATGAATAAGGACTGATTGCAGATTGAAGAATTGTGCAAAGAAGTTTTGCACACGTGCAGAAGAGGTGCACATTCATGGGAGTAATTTGTATCAGCTGTGACTCATTTTGTTTGTCATGATTTACTCAACTGAGTTTTGCGTCTTTTGTAGAGAGTTGCGTTTACTGTTTTGCAAAAATGTGCTTAGCTTTTGCATTGTGTGTGAAAGCAATGAGAAATTACTTAAAGCTTTGCAAAAAAGAATACTGTTGTGCTCATTAGGTTATGATGGAGATCAAGTGGACCCCAGTTTCATTAAAAGTGTCGTAGCAATCTAGAAAAACTGTAGCAGTATGATTCTAGCCTCTCTCTCCGCCCCTATTCATACAGTGCATTCGGAAAGTATTCAGACCTGTTGACTTTTTACACATTTTGTTACGTTACAGCCTTACTCTAAAATTGATTGAAAAAAATCTCAGCAATCTACACACAATACCCCATAATGACAAAGTGAAAAAAGGTTTTTAGAATTTTTGCAAATGTATTACAAATAAAAAACAGAAATACCTTATTTACATAAATATTCAGACCCTTTGCTATGAGACTCAAAATTGAGCTGAGGTGCATCCTGTTTCCACTGATCATCCTTGAGATGTTTCTACATCTTGATTGGAGTTGACCTGTGGTAAATTCAATTGATTGGACATGATTTGGAAAGGCACACACCTGTCTATATAAGGTCCCACAGTTGACATTGCATAACAGAACAAAAACCAAGCCATGAGGTCGAAGGAATTGTCCATAGAGCTCAGAGACAGGATTGTGTCGAGGCACAGATCTGGGGAAGGGTACCCAAAAATGTCTGCAGCATTGAAGGTCCCCAGCATTGAAGGTCCCCAAGAACACAATGGCCTCCATCATTCTTAAATGGAAGAAGTTTGGAACCATCATGTCTCTTCCTAGAGCTGGCCGCCCAGCCAAACTGAGCAATCGGGGGAGAAGGGCCTTGGTCAGGGAGGTGACCAAGAACCCGATGGTCACTCTGACAGAGCTCCAGAGTTCCTCTGTGGAGATGGGATAAACTTCCAGAAGGACAACCATCTCTGCAGCACTCCACCAATTAAGCCTTTATGGTAGAGTGGCCAGACAGAAGCCACTCCTCAGTAAAAGGCACATGACAGCCCGCTTGGAGTTTGCCAAAAGGCACCTAAAGGCTCTCAGACCATGAGAAACAAGATTCTCTGGTTTGATGAAACCAAGATTGAACTGTTTGACCTGAAAGCGAAGCGTCACATCAGGAGGAAACCTGGCACCATCCCTACGGTGAAGCATGGTGGTGGCAGCATCATGCTGTGGGGATGTTTTTCAGCGGCAGGGACTGGGAGAGTAGTCAGGATCGAGGCAAAGATGAACGGAGCAAAGTACAGAGAGATCCTTGATGAAAACCTGCTCCAGAGCTCTCAGGACATCAGACTGGGGCGAAGGTTCACCTTTTAACAGGTCAACGACCCTAAGCACACAGCCAAGACAACGCAGGAGTGGCTTCGGGACAAGTCTCTAAATGACCTTGAGTGACCCAGCCAGAGCCGGACTTGAACCCGATTGAACATCTCTGGAGAGACCTGAAAATAGCTGTGCAGCGACACTCCCCATCCAACCTGACAGAGCTTGAGAGGATCTGCAGAGAAGAATGGGAGAAACTCCCCAAATACAGGTGTGCCAAGCTTGTAGCGTCATACCCAAGAAGACTTGAGGCTGCACTGCCAAAGGTGCTTTAACAAAGTACTGAGTAAAGGGTCTGAATACTTATGTGAAAACCTGTTTTTGCTTTGTCATTTTGGGGTATTATGTATAGATTGATGGGGGATAAAAACAATTTAATCCCTTTTAGAATAAGGCAGTAACGTAACAAAATGCGGAAAAGGTCAAGAGGTCTGAATACTTTCCGAATGCACTGTATACCCTTATGAATTGTAAACCAAACCTCAACCTTAAGGAGATGCTTTATAGCCTCTTTCTGTTTTATGTTTTAGGGTCCCAGTTTTGGCTGTTCAAGGACCTCTCTCTCCAGGAGGGCTACCCCCGCCCCCTCTCAGCCCTGACGAAACGGGGAGAGACAGAAGGAAAGGGAGGAGAGGAGGAGCAGGGCATGATGTGGGACCCAGAGGAAGGACCAGTGTGGGGGGACATTGGAGAGGGGGAAGCAGGAGGAGAGGAAGAAGAGAGTGACACCTGGACCGAGCTCATCAGAGGAGGAGTGAACGGAATTACCACAGAGCGAGACGGTGAGAGAGAGTGAGAGAGAGAGCAACGAGGAAAGCAGAGACTGGGATTCTATGAGAAGGACTATGTAAAATATGATATGTTAGAGACACCTCACACAATGTACAATACATGTGTGAATGTATGTCAACAAACATTAAGCCCCATGCTATATCACTTCAAATACAGTGGGGAAAAAAAGTATTTAGTCAGCCACCAATTGTGCAAGTTCTCCCACTTAAAAAGATGAGAGAGGCCTGTAATTTTCATCATAGGTACACGTCAACTATGACAGACAAAATGAGGAAAAAAAATCCAGAAAATCACATTGTAGGATTTTTTATGAATTTATTGGCATATGATGGTGGAAAATAAGTATTTGGTCAATAACAAAAGTGTCTCAATACTTTGTTATATACCCTTTGTTGGCAATGACACAGGTCAAACGTTTTCTGTAAGTCTTCACAAGGTTTTCACACACTGTTGCTGGTATTTTGGCCCATTCCTCCATGCAGATCTCCTCTAGAGCAGTGATGTTTTGGGGCTGTCGCTGGGCAACACAGACTTTCAACTCCCTCCAAAGATTTTCTATGGGGTTGAGATCTGGAGACTGGCTAGGCCACTCCAGGACCTTGAAATGCTTCTTACGAAGCCACTCCTTCGTTTTCCGGGCGGTGTGTTTGGGATCATTGTCATGCTGAAAGACCCAGCCACGTTTCATCTTCAATGCCCTTGCTGATGGAAGGAGGGTTTCACTCAAAATCTCACGATACATGGCCCCATTCATTCTTTCCTTTACACGGATCAGTCGTCCTGGTCCCTTTGCAGAAAAACAGCCCCAAAGCATGATGTTTCCAACCCCATGCTTCACAGTAGGTATGGTGTTCTTTGGATGCAACTCAGCATTCTTTGTCCTCCAAACATGACGAGTTGAGTTTTTACCAAAAAGTTATATTTTGGTTTCATCTGACCATATGACATTCTCCCAATCCTCTTCTGGATCATCCAAATGCACTTCAGACGGGCCTGGACATGTACTGGCTTAAGCAGGGGGACATGTCTCGCACTGCAGGATTTGAGTCCCTGGCGGCGTAGTGTGTTACTGATGGTTGGCTTTGTTACTTTGGTCCCAGCTCTCTGCAGGTCATTCACTAGGTCCCCCCGTGTGGTTCTGGGATTTTTGCTCACCGTTCTTGTGATCATTTTGACCCCACGGGGTGAGATCTTGCGTGGAGCCCCAGATCGAGGGAGATTATCAGTGGTCTTGTATGTCTTCCATTTCCTAATAATTGCTCCCACAGTTGATTTCTTCAAACCAAGCTGCTTACCTATTGCAGATTCAGTCTTCCCAGCCTGGTGCAGGTCTACAATTTTGTTTTTGGTGTCCTTTGACAGCTCTTTGGTCTTGGCCATTGTGAAGTTTGGAGTGTGACTGTTTGAGGTTGTGGACAGGTGTATTTTATACTGATAACAAGTTCAAACAGGTGCCATTAATACAGGTAACGAGTGGAGGACAGAGGAGCCTCTGAAAGAAGAAGTTACAGGTCTGTGAGAGCCAGAAATCTTGCTTGTTTGTAGGTGACCAAATACTTATTTTCCACCATAATTTGCAAATAAATTCATTAAAAATCCTACAATGGGATTTTCTGGATTTTTTTTCCTCAATTTGTCTGTCATAGTTGACGTGTACCTATGATGAAAATTACAGGCCTCTCTCATCTTTTTAAGTGGGAGAACTTGCACAATTGGTGGCTGACTAAATACTTTTTTTCCCCACTGTACATGTGTATTTCTTTTAATGTATATTTGAGTATTTTCAAATGCACAGCCCAAACAAATACTTTTATTTTGCAAAAACCAAATAGTGTACCAAATTGTATTTTCAAATACTTATTTCAAATACTATTTATACTGTATTTCCAAATACATTTCACATGTTGTCAAATAAAGGTTATCAGAATACTTGTTTTGAAATGTAATGAAAAGTAATTGAAATACTAGGTCTGATCACTTCCTCAGGCTCCATCTACCTCTTCAAAGGAGATTTATATTGGAAGTTCCCCCACCCAGCCTCCGTCCCAGAGGCAGGATACCCTCGATCCCTGGCCACCGATTGGTTGGACTGCCCTCACCCCTCCACACCTGTCCTAGACGACTTCTCTCTCTCTCTGTCTCCCCCTACTGGACGACAGGAGCTCCTCGAGAGGAGGAAGGAGGAGAGGGAGAGAGAAGAGAGCGGAGGCCAGAGGAGGGGCCATGGCCTGGACAGAGACACCGACAGAGACACAGACAGAGAGGGACTGCAGCACTGGCCCTGCACTTGCCTGAATGGAGCGAAAGTTGGCAGCGTGAGCGTGACTTTGTTCATAAGTGCCCTGCTGTTGACTCTCCTCCCCCTGATAACTGTGTGATGTTGGGCTACGTCCCAATACTCTCGACGGCGTCCCCCTCTCACCCCCTTCTATCCCATGGCTACGTCCCAATACTCAACAATGGCCTCCCCCTTTCTCACCCCCTCCATTCCCTCCAGGTTGTGGCTGCTGTTGTCAATGGTGCTAGGCCCTTTCTCACCTTCCACTATGACAAAGTTTGCCATGCACCCTTACAATCCATTCTTAGGGCTGTGGTATAGGGGTTGGGTTAGGAGAAGGTGGGAATTTGGGACACAACCAAGAAGTCCCTACACCCCAAAGGAGGAATATTTGTCCTGGACATTTCAGATTAATTATAAACAGTTATCTGCTGCTGTTGTACCTCTATGTCTATCTGTGAAATGTATCCCTTAGCACCTTGTTGTACAGCCTACACTTGATGATTTCAGAACATTTTATGTGACCAAATAAAATAAAACTCTATTGTCATCAGTTTTCATTGTTAAACCATAAACTCAGATGTCTAACTTATATTTTGATACTAATAGTAATAGAAGTCACCATTAGGTTCATAGTCACTGTCAACATGTGTCTTTTGGGGTGCTGCCATTTAGGCCCCTGACCAAACCAAACAAACTAGAAATAACTGATAGTTGTAGAGGTCCAATTGTTTAATCTTGCTGTCACTGGGGTCGTTTTGGAATTTCCCTGCGTCCTAGAGTTCAACCACATGCTGATTTGGGTAACTTCAGTATTGCATAACTTGGAGAGAAACATTATCTTAAAACACTCCACGTCTTACCTCTGTATAAATTGAAGGTGTTTTCAGCTCATTGACAACCAAGGCTTCCTTCTTGCTAAGACTTACTTCTCTGAAGGCTCAGTTTACCTTGATCTACACGATGTGTGTCCTCTACTTGGCCCCTCTACTTGCTCTGTTGTCAGTGGGAACAGCAGCACCGGCACCAGAGGATTGTGGACATCTGGTGAAACTGCTCGCACCGGAAGACCAACATACTGTGAGTACATCACCTATCTATAGAGTGGACCTCTATGAAGGCCCACAGTGGTGTTGTGGTATGTTAGAAATAGTGACGATTTCCAATCTGTGAACTGTATTGTATTTAATCTAAAGGAGTTTAAAAGGCATTTGACTCCAACTTATAGTTTAAAAGGCATTTGACTCCAACTTATAGGCAGAATACAGCCTCTGCCATCAGGCACTATGCTTCACAGACAAATAGTGATATAAAACGGAAATGTATGACATGAAATGACAGACCAATACATTTTCCCACAGATCTTTGGTAAGTGGATCTTCATCGAGGGTTTCTCGGACCATGAGCTGTTCAATGCAATACTGAGAAAGACCAACAGCACATGGATTGAAATCTTTCCCACTTCACACAATGAGACGGTCCTTTTGAACCAGGGAAACTTGATGTAAGTGATAGTAACTCTCTACAGCCTTGTCTCTATCCACTTGTGTCATGTATCGTTAGACACAGTAGCTCTGCTATGTGAATAGACATTCTACAGCTCTAAGAAAAGTATATTTCTAATGATCATCTAATTTCCTCTGCCAGTGATGGAAAATGCCTTAACTCCTCTGTCAACATGAGCTTTTCCAAAAACAGTTTGCAAATCACACGTAAGTCAAACATTATTGACTGGCTGGCCATTCTAGGCTATATTATCAGATAGAAAAGATGCTGTTAAATTACTCTGAGAGTTACTGTGTGTTTTTTTCTTACATAGAGAATAATGTGACTTCCACTGGACACTTCCTACAAACCTGCCCTGACTGTCTCATCATGCACTTCAGTAGCACTATGGCCGGAGTGCATGTCCGATCTCTCTATATCTTTGGTAGGTGCGTGTGTGTGTGTGTGTGCTTTTGAGATCCCTCCAATGGCCAGAACCAACATTTATCCAAAAGATTTTGGAAACCTTGAACCTTGGTCAATCAAGTCATGAAATCAACCAGTTTCTTTCTTCTTCTGTTTCCAGGGAAGACCAGGACACTGCCGGAGTCAGAGTTGAAGCCGTTCCGGAAGCAAGCAGAATGCCTCCAGTATCCTCAGCCTGCACAGTATTCCTACGATGGAGTTACAGGTCATTATTAACCCTAACCTACTCATAAAAAGGACACCAGGCAACATTTAGTATTAGGGTGGTAGGGTTAGGGGAAAATAATAAAGAAGAAAAATATATAAAAAGTATATATACACTGCTCAAAAAATGAAAGGGAACACTTAAACAACACAATGAAACTCCAAGTCAATCACACTTCTGTGAAATCAAACTGTCCACTTTTTTTCAACACTGATTGACAATACATTTCACATGCTGTTGTGCAAATGGAATAGACAACAGGTGGAAATTATAGGCAATTAGCAAGACACCCCCAATAAAGAAGTGGTTCTGCAGGTGGTGACCACAGACCACTTCTCAGTTCCTATGCTTCCTGGCTGATGTTTTGGTCACTTTTGAATGCTGGCAGTGCTTTCACTCTAGTGGTAGCATGAGACGGAGTCTACAACCCACACAAGTGGCTCAGGTAGTGCAGCTCATCCAGGATGGCACATCAATGCGAGCTGTGGCAAGAAGGTTTGCTGTGTCTATCAGCGTAGTGTCCAGAGCATGGAGGCGCTACCAGGAGACAGGCCAGTACATCAGGAGACGTGGAGGAGGCCATAGGAGGGCAACAACCCAGCAGCAGGACCGCTACCTCCGCCTTTGTGCAAGGAGGAGCGGGAGGAGCACTGCCAGAGCCCTGCAAAATGACCTCCAGCAGGCCACAAATGTGCATGTGTCTGCTCAAACGGTCAGAAACAGACTCCATGAGGGTGGTATGAGGGCCCGACGTCCACAGGTGGGGGTTGTGCTTACAGCCCAACACCGTGCAGGACGTTTGGCATTTGCCAGAGAACACCAAGATTGGCAAATTCGCCACTGGCGCCCTGTGCTCTTCACAGATGAAAGCAGGTTCACACTGAACACGTGACAGACGTGACAGAGTCTGGAGACGCCGTGGAGAACGTTCTGCTGCCTGCAACATCCTCCAGCATGACCGGTTTGGCGGTGGGTCAGTCATGGTGTGGGGTGGCATTTCTTTGGGGGGCCGCACAGCCCTCCATGTGCTCGCCAGAGGTAGCCTGACTGCCATTAGGTACCGAGATGAGATCCTCAGACCCCTTGTGAGACCATATGCTGGTGCGGTTGGCCCTGGGTTCCTCCTAATGCAAGACAATGCTAGACCTCATGTGGCTGGAGTGTGTCAGCAGTTCCTGCAAGAGGAAGGCATTGATGCTATGGACTGGCCCGCCCGTTCCCCAGACCTGAATCCAATTGAGCACATCTGGGACATCATGTCTCGCTCCATCCACCAACGCCACGTTGCACCACAGACTGTCCAGGAGTTGGCAGATGCTTTAGTCCAGGTCTGGGAGGAGATCCCTCAGGAGACCATCCGCCACCTCATCAGGAGCATGCCCGGGCGTTGTAGGGAGGTCATACAGGCATGTGGATGCCACACACACTACTGAGCCTCATTTTGACTTGTTTTAAGGACATTACATTAAAGTTGGATCAGCATGTAGTGTGGTTTTCCACTTTAATTTTGAGGGTGACTCCAAATCCAGACCTCCATGGGTTGATACATTTGATTTCCATTGATAATTTTTGTGTGATTTTGTTGTCAGCACATTCAACTATGTAAAGAAAAAAGTATTTAATAAGATTATTTCATTCATTCAGATCTAGGATGTGTTGTTTAAGTGTTCCCTTTATTTTTTTGAGCAGTGTATTTCAAATAATATATATATATTTACAAAAAAATCTATATATAGGGGATTGGAAATTATGCAAACAATTACATTGATAGAAGCCACATTGCAATATTAAAGCTGATCTAACTCCTAAATAAAAATGTTAAAAAATTATAATAATTGTGTTAATTTATAATGTTGTCATTATAGAATAGATCCCTGTTGGCTGAGTCCTGTGTTCATTTAAACCTTGTCCAAGTTCTCATTAACGTCTCCTCTCTTCTCTCTGCAGAGTTTTGCGCTGAGAAAAAGGAGAGCTTGCACGATGTTGAGTCACAAGATGAAAAGGATGGTTCACAGTGATATGGCTACTGATGATGGAATGGTTGCATGAATACAATTATTTGTACTCTAATACGATGTTTGTGTTTCCTGAATGATTGTTTTGAAATGCATCCTCATCCATAAACACACTAAGGCACACACGCAAACAGACAGGCAGACAGACAGACAAACAGACAGACAGACAGACAGACAGACAGAGAGGACAGACAAACAGTAGGTTGTTCACAGTGAGGTTGTTCACAAGATTATGGTATTCACATTAAGGCCAAAGCTAAATCCAAAGCTAAATGTATATACACTACCATTCAAAAGTTTGGGGTCACTTAGAAATGTCCTTGTTTTCGAAAGAAAAGCATTTTTTTGTCCATTAAAATAACATCAAATTGATCAGAAATACAGTGTAGACATTGTTAATGTTGTAAATGGCTATTGTTGCTGGAAATGGCAGATTTTTAATGGAATATCTACATAGGCGTACAGAGGCCCATTATCAGCAACCATCAGTCCTGTGTTCCAATGGCACGTTGTGTTTGCTAATCCAAGTTTATCATTTTAAAAGGCTAATTGATCATTAGAAAACCCCTTTGCAATTATGTTAGCACAGCTGAAAACTGTTGTGTTGATTAAAGAAGCAATAAAACTGGCCTTCTTGAGACTAGTTGAGGATCTGGAGCATCAGCAATTGTGGGTTCGATTACAGGCTCAAAATGGCCAGAAACAAATAACTTTCTTCCGTCTATTCTTGTTCTGAGAAATTAAGGCTATTCCATGCAAGAAATTGCCAAGAAACTGAAGATCTCCTACAACGCTGTGTACTACTCCCTTCACAGAACAGCGCAAACTGGCTCTAACCAGAATAGAAAGAGGAGTGGGAAGCCCCGGTGCACAACTGAGCAAGAGGACAAATACATTAGAGTGTCAGGGTTTGAGAAACAGACGCCTCACAGGTCCTCAACTGGCAGCTTTATTAAATAGTACCTGCAAAACACCAGTCTCAACGTCAATAGTGAAGAGGTTACTCCGGGATGCTGACCTTCTAGGCAGAGTTGCAAAGAAAAAGCCATATCTCAGATTGGCCAATAAAAATAAAAGATTAAGATGGGCAAAAGAACACAGACACTGGACAGAGGAAGATTGGAAAAAAGTGTTATGGGCAGACAAATTGAAGTTTGAGGTGTTCGGATCTGTGAGACGCAGACCAAACGAAAAGATGCTGGAGGAGTGCTTGATGCCATCTGTCAAGCATGGTGGAGGCAATGTGATGGTCTGGGGGTGCGTTGGTGGTGGTAAAGTGGGAGATTTGTACAGGGTAAAAGGGATCTTGAAGAAGGAAGGCTATCACTCCATTTTGCAACGCTATGCCATACCCTGTGGATGGCGCTTGATTGGAGCCAATTACCTCCTACAACAGGACAATGACCCAAAGCACAGCTCCAAACTATGCAATAACTATTTATGGAAGAAGCAGTCAGCTGGTATTCTGTCAATAATGGAGTGGCCAGCACAGTCACTGGATCTCAAACCTATTGAGCTGTTGTGGGAGCAGCTTGACCGTATGGTACGTAAGAAGTGCCCATCAAGCCAATCCAACTTGTGGGAGATGCTTCAGGAAGCATGGGGTGAACTCTCTTCAGATTACCTCAACAAATTGACAACTAGAATGCCAAAGGTCTGCAAGGCTGTAATTGCTGCAAATGGGGGATACTTTGACGAAAGCAAAGTTTGAAGGACACAATTATTATTTCAATTAAAAATCATTATTTCTAACCTTGTCAATGACCACATTCATTTTGCTAAATTTCCTATTCAAACTCATTTCATGTATGTTTTCATGGAAAACAAGGATATTTCTAAGTGACCCCATACTTTTGAACGTAGTGTACATAACCTTATACTATGGCCCATTACATAAACCAAAAACACAGAGACAGAACACAGCAGCTCTAGGTTTAAATAAATGTATCAATAATTATCAAAGCTAAAAGTTGTCAGTGTGCCTGTCACGACTACCGCCGAGGCTGCCTCCCCTCCTTGTTCGGGCAGGTTTCGGTGTTCGGCGTCACCGGCTTACTAGCTACTGCCGATCCATTTATCATCACTCCATTTGTCTTGTCTTCAATCACACACACCTGGTCCTTATTCCCTCATTAGTCATGGTGTAAGTGTTCCCTCTGCTTCCTTGTCTGTGTGGGTGATTGTTTATTGTGGAGATTAGTGCAGCTCGGTGGAGCTCGTGTATTGTGTATCGACGGGAGTATTTTCCCGTGTGCCTTGTATTTTCCAGTGCGCCTGTTTTGTGCCCTGGAGTGTGTTTGACGCATTTCTACGTAAACCTGTATTTTGCGGATTAAAGCCTGTTATTCTGTGATTTACCCTCCTGTGCCTGACTCCTTCAACACCACCTCATCACAGAATCACCCACCCGAATATGGAGTCAGCGGGAGAGACGCACATGCCTGGAGTCGTGGAACGGGTCCAGGAGCATTCAACTATGCTAGCCAGCTTGGGTGAAGCGATGGGTCGGGTTCTTCAGGTCGTCCAACGCCTGGAGAGGAGAGAGCCCGATCCGTCGAGACCAGCTGGTCAACCGGATCCCACCACCTACACCCCAGCACCCCGAGGCATCCAGATATCCCGACCAGGGGAGTTCGACGGTACAGCGGCGCTGTGCCAAGGATTCCTTCTCCAACTGGAGCTCTACTTCTCCAGCATCCGGCCGGTTCCATCGGAGCGGGAGAAGGTGTCTGCCCTCATCTCCTGCCTCTCTGGGAAAGCCCTGGAGTGGGCCAACGCGGTGTGGAACGAAGGAGGAGCCGCGTTGGAGAACTATGGGGAGTTCACTCGCCTCTTCCGGGCGGTCTTCGATCACCCGCCCAAGGGTCGAGAGGCGGGCGAGCAGCTGGTCCACCTGAGGCAGGGGACGAGGACTGCGCAGGACTTCGCATTGGAGTTTTGAACTCTGGCAGCTGGGTCCGGGTGGAACGAGCGGGCCCTGATCGACCAGTTCCGGTGGCATCTGCGAGAGGACGTCCGACGGGAGCTAGCCTGCCGTGACACCATGTTGTCCTTCTCGCAACTGGTGGACATGGCCATTCGTTTGGACAACCTGCTGGAAACCAGAGGACGTCCCGGAGGAGGTCTGCCCGTTTCCATCCCGGCCGACTCGGATCCAGAACCGATGGAGATGGGTGGAACCGCTAGCCGAGAGAGCGGAGGACGACAGCGCCAGTGTCACACTGGTGGCACGAAGGGACATTTCACCACACGCTGTCGTCAACGCTCTTCTGGGTTTGGAGGCAGCAGGAATGGCACTCTCACATCAACCCAGGTATCGAACACCCACACTCGTTCAGAGCCCTCTGCTGCACACTGTAAAATACACATCTCCTTTCCTGAGCACATGGTAGTTCCACAGTGTAAGGCGCAAGTCGATTCAGGCGCAGCTGGGAACTTTATGGACAGGGCATTCGCACACCGTATAGGCATTCCATTGATTCCCCTATCCATTCCACGCCCCATCAGAGCACTTGGTAGTCGACCATTAGGGTCTGGGTTGGTTAAGGAAGTTACTGCACCAGTCACCATGATTACCCAGGAGACTCATTGTGAGCAGGTTACTTTTTCCATTATTGAGTCTCCTGCTTTCCCTGTGGTATTAGGTATCCCTTGGCTAGCACTCCACAACCCCACCTTCTCATGGCCGCAGAAGGTTCTCACGGGGTGGTCGCGAGAGTGTCAGGGTAGCTGTCTAGGTGTTTCCGTTGGTGCAACCATGGTGGAAAGTCCAGACAGTACCTCCACCGTGCGCATTCCCCCTGAATACCTCGATCTGGCGCAAGCGTTCTCTAAAACGCAGGCGACTAAATTACCACCTCATCGGGCGGGGGGATTGCGCGAAAAACCTCTGGATAGACGCTGTACTTCCCAGGAGTCATATATACCCCCTGTCACAGGCTGAAATGGTGGCTATGGAAACATATATCACCGAGTCCCTGCGCCAGGGGTATATATGTCCCTCCACTTTACCCGCCTCCTCAAGTATCTTCTTTGTGAAAAAGAAGGACGGAGGTCTGCGCCTGTGCATTGATTATCGACCACTGAACAGGGAGACGATAAGATTTAGTTACCCTCTCCCCCTCATTCCTTCAGTGATTGAATCAATGCATGGGGCGCGCTTCTTCACCAAATTAGATCTCAGGAGTGCGTACAACCTGGTGTGTATCCGAGAGGGAGATGAGTGGAAGACAGCATTCAGCACAACCACGGGGCATTATGAATACCTGGTGATTTCCTATGGTTTGATGAATGCTCCCTCAGTTTTCCAGTCCTTTGTGAACGAGGTGTTTCGGGACATGCTTGGTTGCAGTGTAGTGGTCTACATCGATGACATCCTGGTGTATTCCGCTACGCGCGCCGAGCATGTGTCCCTGGTTCGCAAGGTGCTGGCCCGACTGTTGGAAAATGACCTTCATGCTAAGGCAGAGAAGTGTATGTTTTTCCAGCAGTCCGTCTCCTTCCTTGGATACTGCATTTTCCACCTAAGGTGTGGAGATGGAGGGAGATCACATTTCAGCTGTGCGTAATTGGCCGACTCCAACCACGGTTAAGGAGGTGCAGCGCTTCCTTGGCTTTGCAAACTACTATCGGAGGTTTATCTGGGGCTTTGGCAAGGTCGCAGCTCCCATTACCTCCCTGTTGAAGGGTGAGCCGTCCCGGCTCCGCTGGTCTGCTGAGGCTGACCAGGCCTTCAGCAAACTGCGGGGTCTGTTCACCTCAGCCCCAGTACTGGCCCACCCTGATTCATCACTACCGTTCGTAGTGGAGGTGGATGCGTCCGAGGTTGGGATAGGAGCTGTCCTGTCTCAACGCTCAGGTACGCCACCCAAGCTCCGCCCCTGTGCGTTCTTCTTGACGAAGCTCAGCCCGGCGGAGCAGAACTACGGCGTTGGTGATTGGGAGCTGTTGGCTGTTGTCCGAGCTTTGACCGTGTGGAGGCATTGGCTCGAGGGGGCAAAACACCCTTTCCTCGTCTGGACGGACCACCTT